GCACAATAATGATCTACACAAATCTGTCATTTAGATTCATTTGGCTCGATTTATTTGGCCATGCTTCTAATAAACTCAATAAAAAATGAATGAGAAATTGTTTAACTGCTTAAATTAATTTCATTATGTTACAGAAACTGGTTTACGAAACTAATATTGTCTGATGCAAACATTTTGTCAGATTATACGGTCTAAGCACCTGATTTCTAAGCTACAGACATCACGTTTGAATACTATTCAACGTTAAATTTTGTTAAATGCTGTCGGCTGAAGAGTTAATGAAAAGTGTGAAACGTATGAAAGCTTTCTTGCCTTTACTTATTGAAATAATACATAAATAGTATGTCAATATGACAGTTTACCTTAGAAAGTAAAATGGCTAAAAATATCAATGATAAATTAGAGATAAAAATTCATATACTGACTATAAGTAGGAGAAAACGAATCTTGATATTTAAACTAAGATGAAGAGTTAATGAGGTTAAACAACTTAGATCAACTTCCAATCACACTGATTTTCGTTATTTCAGAAGCGCCTATTTTCTAATCTCTATTCCTCCATAACAGATGGCCTCATTGGCCAGTGTTACTGTTCAGCATGATTTCCTAAGTTTCTTGTAGTCATCTTGTTGTCCAACACATGATACATGACGACTATGCATTCGTAATACATATCTGTAAGGTGTCAGTCACCACTAACGGGCGATTTACCTCCTTCATATAAAATACTACATGTATGACATGCAAGATTTTTGGGTCGGTTGTTTGGCCACATACTAATAATACTTCAGAGTTGTTGTTAGTTGATAGAAGGTAACAGACTTCCCTCCCTTGGTATGAACGATTTCTCACTACATCCCTCTACCAAAATACGCTAACTTTCTATGATTTCTATTTAGCTAACCTACGAAGGGTATTGTAGGTTTCAGTTGGCGTCAATTAGTGATATCACCTAGATAATACAAGTCAAATTTCATAAACCCATCCTAAGACTTATTCGCTGATAGTTATTGCTAGAAATTGCATAAAAAGTATTGTTTCTGGAAACAGATTCTCTCTTTCCTATAAGTGGCTGATCATTTTTCAGCTACTGAAAAACACTTTTCACCTCCGGGTAAACCATTTCCACATCTAGGCTGTTTAGTTTTCTTTCGCTGAGTTTAGTGCTTAGGAAAATGGCAGTTTCTTAGCCACATACGAAAGTCATCCGAAACGATTAATATTCGTTAAATCGTCTTAGCCATTCCATACACTTCAAAAATATGAATTTCCAGATGAATGGTGAATATCTTCGAAATATCCTAGATTCTTCTGAACCTCAGGATAGTAGCTAATAGAGTAAATTGCACTGGTAACCACTGATTAAGTTTTGCTGTTATAACTGGGGAATTCTCAGTAGAGATGAAATACTTGACCCCACTCTATCTACCGAAGTTTGGTCAGTCAGGTATTATCATTAACCCACACACAATAGGTGTAGTTCACTGCCTACCACGTGAATGTGGAAAAGGTAACGGAATGGATTTCGATTAGATTTTTCTCGATTTGCTCTATCTTCCATACAATGACCAGGATTTTTCGACGTAGCTTTACTATTGAATATCCTTTCACATCTGTTAGTATAACTCTGCTCATATCATACTGACAGAATTGAAATCTAATTGGGTAACTAGAATGGAAATATATTAACATTTATATGCACATTTTATTCATACGATAGCCAAGAAAGAAACTCTACGATAGAAATGAATACGGGTCACATTAGAAATAAAAAGCAAAAGCTTTCTTAAAATCTCTCAAAATTTACTCATTATCCGGGTAATTATGCACTGGTTTTCAAGATGAACCAATGCTTATTTAGGCTTTCATAAACCAGATGGCTACGGAGTCTTATTGCATGATGAAACAAGATGATTACCGTCTATCACTCCCAATATGACCTCAGGTCAATTAAAAATGTTCATCATGCTGGTTGAAAAGAAGAGATATTACTTAAAAAGGTTACTGTATACAATTAGATGGTATGCTCAACTAACTTAATCTGTTAGCTGTTGTAGATTCTGCTGCCATTCTGGTTTATTTCATACTTCGCTTATTATTTCCTTACCGTTAAGTTAATTTGTCTTTAAAGTTAAAAATGTCCTGAGTAACTTAACCAACGATTATATGATTAATTAAGTTATATCGTATACACTTAATGAACTGGATGATACTAATATCAAGCCGGTTTCTATCAGTGATAAGTCTGAGTTAGGGAACCAGTGAAAACCAGATGACCTGTTTCATTGGAAACTGAAATAGAACCCAGGACCATCAAGTTTCATCAGTAGTTTATTGACTAAAATTTCCCTGTTGAAACCAAGTCAGTATGTACCTGTTTTTTAGTTGACTTTCTGCTTTACCTTGCCAGCATGAAGGTATAATTTGCAGATTGCTGCAAATGTATTTATTCTGAAATTCATTTGTATGTAAGAAGTGAAATTGCATTACCTCTCACAAATTTTCAGTTCTTATACTATGCACTTGACTGCATATACCATTAAAACTAACGTGAGGTGACAGGTATCCGGGATACTTGACTGTACTCCTCGTTATTCTGGATAATGGACGAAAACCAACATGATTGTGTGGATTGTTACTGAGTACTTTCAATCCTAACTAATATTTTTTCCAGCTGTGTTCATTTTCTAGGCTCCGTAGTTGTTAAAAGCAAAAACATGTATCTGTTTCGGGGTTTTGATCATAGATTTCTTCGTAACACTGCTCACGTTTAGTGGAATCCTCATGTGAGCAATGTGTAGGTCAGACGAAGGGTACTAGGCAAGACAAGCAAGACGATTGATGAAGTTGTGAACCTTAGTCGACTCACTTGGCCTGGTCATGTACTCTGCATGCCGAGTTATCACCTACCTCGACGTGCCATGCTAGGGACGTTGGGTTAGGTTTGAAAAAGCTTCAGGCAGGCCACACCAAGACTTGTCACCAGTCTATGAAGTCTCATACTATTGGTCTAAGTCGTGTGATGATATGTAGACTGCCTGGTTGGGTTCCCCAAGAAGAAACGGATAAGTGGTTGAGAACTCTTTGTGACATGGCCGAAAATCGGTCGCAGTGGCGCAGATGTACCCACTTCATGATACCTTCTAAAGTTTGATTATTCGCACTAACTATTAACTTCAAATGTTTTATTCTGTCGACCTACTTTGTCTACTATGATATCAGTCACTTTCTATCAACTTGTTTTTTATGTACTGCTGTGAAATGTGACAACTTGGACAGATAGACTTGTGTGTGAGGTTCTACGTTGATTTTGCCAGTCAGCCAATCAATCAGTTTCCTGGAGTAATTTTTGACTGAATCAATTTATTAGTAATAATGAGCATCAACGATCGCACATCTATTATGTAATCCAACTGCGGATTATGATGATCATATAACTGTGAATTACTGATACACTTTTCACAAACCTGTAGTTGATTCTTTATTGAAGAGTTGCAGAAACGAAGAAGTACTCATGTAGATGGATGCAAGGCTAATTAGAAACATCCATTCGCTTGGTATAATAAGTTAGAATAAGGTCAAAAACAGACAACTAGTTACTTATTAAGTCCATAGAAATGCACTTTAAATGAACCAGTGGATATCTATAGATCACCAATCAAACTCAAAACAGAATTCTGTGAATCTACTGAAATTAAGCATTTTAGGTCTATGAGCCAAATTCCATCAAAACTTCTGCTTAATGAATGAGTATTTCCACTAATTACTAATCCTACTATCTTACACTGATTCACTCGAAATCATTCGATCCGCTTACTTCCTTTCTGGATAAAAATGTAGTTATTGCATTGCATTGCGGAGAAAGAACTGACATCATTCCAATAACCTTGACTTGATAAGCATAGATCAAAAGGTCATAGAAGCTAAATACTTGTAATTAATTCTTCATTCTTACACGTCAGAAAATGTAGTTCCTTCGTAACACGAAAAATTCAGTTTTTTTTAACTAAGTAGAGACATGAAAAGTGAGCTGTTGAATAATTTTTTGTACTGAAGAAAAGAGGTAGAACTAAACTTCAGTGACGACCAACCATGTTTATGTATGCACTGACCAATCAGAATCGCGAGTATAATGGAAAACATGATTATTAGGGAAAATGGCACTTTATTAAGCATTTATAAATTTGTTTTGCATGAGAAATAAAGACTTCTAGATATTAAACAGGTTTATCTTATTTGCAACCAGACCATTGTCTTTTTTGACATTCATTCATATGAGACTGTATCATTTTTTTATCGTGATCCCATCAAATGTCTTAAGATGTTTCTAAGACGGCTCCATATATTTTCAAAAGTTGTTTATGTGCATTCCAGTTGTCCGATCAATAAAATGCTTCTTGTGAACAGCAGCTTGATAAGGCAACCCGTTTCTGACAGACGCGTATACGACTTTCAATGATATTATGGTACTAAAAGATACATTTTCGCATGACTGCTAGTATAGATTTTGCTGATCTATCGTTTATCCGTTGAAAATATCCTTTCTTCGTATTTCGGCAGTAAAAAATCTGAGGTTTGCCAAGACATATATGTGTAAATTACCCAATCTTGTTTCAGTCATTCTCCCAGATTTTATCTTTGTCTCCGAAAGAGCCATTCATCTATTTCAATAATATTACCTACCCCATCGAATTTCACACCTAGTGTGCAGCCTAATCCTGATCATAATTTATCAAGTCTATTCAGTATAAACAACATGGTAAACAGACGTAATTGGAGACCCTGAGTACGACATTACTAACCTCATTGCTTGTCTTCTAGGTTCCCGACCACTAAAGTTCAGTTCTACCGAGTATAACATAAATGTACTGATCCTATCATAGAAGAGATAGCTGAAATGTAAGGTATCATTATTTGAATGAGTAACTTTTGACAGTTTTTGAAAAATAAAAGCTTTTTAAATAAACCTATTTCATTTGTATTTTGTTAATAATTTTCAGTCTACAGTTGAATTAGCCAATAAAGACAAGGTTCATTTGGAATCATGCATTGAAGAAATGAGTTCAGCGCATAGACAAGCATTACGTGAACGTGAAGACTTAGTTCAACGTTCCAATGGTTTACATGAACGTAACATTGAGTTGGATGCAGAAAACAAGAAGTTAGATCTAGAAGTCAAACGTAATGCTGAAGCATTACGAGTAAGTCATACATCTTGATATACTGAATTACACATATATATACAGACTCATCAGTACTCAAGGTATCATCACACTTTTTGTGAGTTAAATGAATGTTATTTCCAGTGCTACAGTAACATAGAAAACCAGGTTAAGTGGCAGCTTACACAGGATCGGAGGAATAACCCAGGTTCATATATCTTATTGAAAATGAGCTATCTTAAAGTTACAGATACACTTCAATGATCAGTGCTGGTAAACATCTGACCTAGATATGCCTACATGATGAACTACGTGGCTTGAATATAGGATGCTATATTACTAATAATTAGGTTTTAAACGTAAACATTGGCCTTCCTGGTACAAAAGGTGTTCTGAGAGACTGGCACTGTTATCAGACGATTAGAGGCAATCAGTAGGAAGCCGTGTACCTAAGTTTAGTACTTAATGGCACTCGTCACTAACGCTTATCTGAAATCATACGGGAACTGATGTCCCACGTGAGATTAAGACACGCCTCACTCAGTGCTGCAGTCAGAAGCGTTACCACTGAGCTATTCGGACTGCGAATGACCTCCAGTAAGACTATATCCGGTATACTGACTGGTCACTGAAAAAGCAACCAGTTTTATGTTATCTAGTCCTGAGTCCTAACCAAACTCTACTGATCATTTTTTTAATCTGGTCACCAGGATAGGAGAATTGGTATCACAATGCAGTTTGATAAATGTCAGTTGGTTCGATGAAGTTGTCAAGAGGCCCTGAATCTCTACTTTATACTTGCTGACAGTCTTCAACAAAGCATATCTGCAACCTCAAAGGCAGCTGAAATAATAATAATCATAATAATCACATTGTCGCAAACTACATATACGTTCCAGTATGGAATTTCCATCATATAATACTTCAAAAAATTTACTCCCTAAGGAATACTGTTAAATGAAATAATTATTGCACCTGAATAATGTTAACAAAAACAGTATTAAAAGGAATGATATGAAACAGACAGCTGGTGCTCATTTAACGTCTAGTCTGAACAGGGGAATGAATGGAAAATCCAGCGTAACTTCTGTAATGGTAACACACTTAACCAGTACAAAAATCTACAGTTCAACGTGGGTATCCTATGAATACCAATGTGCTGTATTTTTATTCGTATATTAGTCTTTTTCTTACAAGCGTAAAGCCTTTTCCTTCGTCGTTTGCTTGAAAAACGCTTGTTTGAAAACATTTTATAAATGTGCGAGAGTATGTGGTACCTTTAAAAGACAATACTTACAAGATTAAAACAAATTAACGAAAAAGAATTTGATGAAATATATTCTGTGGAAAGTTTTTCGGTAGCTTAAAATGAAAGCAGAGCGCGAGTTACAATGTATGTGACTTCAGCACTGGGTAACACGCTTTAGAATCTGACAGAGGACATCAGTTCCCTCTAGATTGGAGATAAGCTTTGCTATCGAGTGCCAACAAATACGAAACCTAGGTTGAGCAGGGCTTCCTATTGATTACCTCCATTCAACTAAAATCCATCAAAGTGCATCGTAATGTCGATTCTCTTAGGCTGTTGACAACATTCCAAAAGTAATCGATAGAATTCGATCATCATTTAAGACTAGAGGACACAAAACCAGTTACTCTTCAGTGAGCATTCTATATACTACAGTTCTCACCTTTTAGTGATAGTCATGCAGGAAGAAAAGATACTATAAATTTCCCCAAAAACATGCGATGCTCTTTTTGATTTATTGTCAGACATCTAGCATAAACAGTATCAGTTTAAAGTAGGATTCTCTAAGAATTATTTTCTTTGAAAACCAGGAAATATTCGGCACTTACTTTACTCTATACTAAGATTTCCAAGAGGTAGGTATATTTGACACCAAAATCATGACCTTGACATCCTTCAATTATGATACTATTATTCGGCGAATGAAGCATATATTTCCGTTTCAGTCAAAATATTCTGGCAAACTACAGTAATAATTCCTTATGATCGGTCACATCCTGCCGTACTCACTCAAGACAAATAGACTCAGAGCCTCGATCTACAAGTCGCTTTCATAACAACTTAACACTGACCAAAACTCTAAGCTCTATTCAACTGAAGATGAGGAGTACTAGAAAGTTGGAAAGTGTTTAATACAATTTCATATCACCTCGTAGTCATGCACTACTGGAGAATATAACAGCAGAACAAGGTATATGTCCACTTTGTCAACTTGAAAGTGCAATGTTATTTTGAGAAGCATTTCGGTTGGAAGAAGTTAAAGGCAGCTAGAAAGAAACATTACACTAGCTGATGATATTTTTGACTTTTGGTCTAAAATGTGCTGAGACATGTTTACCTTCAGTTCGGGTCAATCAGGTTATCAAAATCCCTCATCCACTAGCTCCTCTTGATAAGCTTGACTGAAGCTCCTTATCAGCTGTAAATGACCTAAAGTCATAATAATTTTCGTAAGTAATAAATCAAAAAGAGAAATGCTTTAGGTACTGGAAGCAAACTTCAGAGTTTAAATTCACTGTACACCAGTGGATCAAGCAAAAACAAAATAACAGAAGGATAACCAAAATCAAGGTTCATTTTGATGTGATGTAATCGAAAACTGAAAAACTTCAAAGAAAAAAGAAAGGGAAATTTAAAAATCTAAGGTATCATTTTGGTAGCCAGGCAAAGAACCATCTGTTAGAAACTTCAAGAATGAATTGAAATTGTCCACTGAAATCCATTAGAGGGGAAACGTAAAACGGAGATTGCGCAAAAATACCCTAAAAACACAATAATAGTGTGATTTCGACTCCATAAACTTTTGGTCGTTAAACTTAGCTGCTATTACCGTTGTAAATTGGTAGTTTACTGAACACTGATAGCTTCTTTCTAGAATCAATGTCAGGATTTATGTCTATCTCAGACTAAGGGATTAATGTTTTACATTTTACTCCATAACTTCTCTTTTCTCCATTCACTTCAATGAAATGATTGATTTTTAAAGTTCATCTTTCACTTTTAAACTAGGCAGAAAGAAACACACTTGCTGACCTTCAACAACAATTGGAACTATGCCGTAGAAGATCAGAAACAGCTGAAAGAGATGCAAATGATTGGAGTTCAAGAGTTCGTTTAGCTGAAGATCAACTACACAAGGCTGAGACTCGAGTTGTACAGTTGGAAAGGGAACTACGTGTTGAAAGAGATGATTATACTCAGTTGAGAGCACGAATGGAAATATTAGAGGAAGAAAAACAAAACATTGAGGTAGTTATTATTAAAATAAACCGAGTAGTAATTTTACAATGTTTTCTAATATCTAAATCTTTAATGTCTACGGAGTGAACTGATTTCAGTTAATTATGGGATACAATAGTAGTTAGTGGTAACGTCTCCAAGCCTAGGGTTGAACGATTCAAGTAGGCAACGTACACGGAACGTTTCATCCGAGCTACAAATTTACTTCGCTACAGGTGACATGTAAACAAATTCAACTGAATTGGAGGAATAGCCTACAGAGTGCTATTGGAGGCTAAACAGAGAAACTTAAAGTGTCTGGGGTTTTTATAGATTGAATCCTATGCGAAATTAAGTAAACTCCTAGACTTGTCATCAAGATTCCTACCAGCTTCCGTTGATATAGTCGAATAGGTGCCAGGCTTGGTGAACCAACATTGTCGACAATAATCTAGTAAAATTCGGGTTCTAGAGGTTTCATCATTCCTCTTTTTGATATCGCTGTTTCTCAACCATGGAACTTTACTGCAAAGTACGAAATTCTAAGGTAACATTCCGTTTTCAGCTTCACATCTTATTAGCATATTAAGTTGCTACTTTAATAATGAGTCGTATCGACGTTTATCAAGTGTTGACCTGGGTGTCCAGACATTTAAAAGCAAATCATTAGGTTGGGAATTCTGATTTCATTGACGTACATTAGAATGAACCTGCAGTATTAGTAAAAGATGTAACCTGAAGTGCATGGGCACTGAGTTTTGCCGTTTGTTCTTAATGCAGTTATGTTCGAACTTCAACTGGCTTCAAATAACTCTTATCTTAGTGTGAGTTATGAAGATGTAAAATTACTTTCTTATTTTTCTGTAATTCAGATGAATTTAAAAGAAACAGCTCAAAGGCTATCACATGCTGAAGTTGACTTATCCAGCAGAGTACGCGAAATACACGATATACGTTCAGCACATGAAGAAGCTATGCGTACCAATGGGCGTACACAAGAAGCTCTATCAACGCGTAATGCTGAATTAACAGCGGCTAGAAATGAGTTGAGTTCCATTCAAACAAGTCTGTCAGAAACACGTCGATTGTTAGAAGCTGAACAACGTGAAACAACAAGACTCAGGGAAGATTTAAATCATATGGCACGTGAATCACAAACTTTACAAACAGAATTACAGGTACGCTTAATGTGTTTAATAAGGGATGAGACAGACTGAAGTTGGTAAAGTCATTGGTAGATGACTACTTAAATCTTTATTAAATGAATATCGGAATTTAGAACTAATTTACCCTACCCCATTATTAAAAGAAATAACAGACTAACACAACTACAAAAAACTACTTAGTGATTAGAACTCATCTCAGGTATAAACAGCCTTAGACTGGAGGTTACCGAATATCGAGGCGTCCATGCAGGAGCCGGTATGCCTGAAGAAACCAATCAAGTCGGTTAGGTCAACGACGGAACTATTCAAGCAACAAAACAAAAACTATACCTATTGCACAAGAAGTGGCTTCCATGACTCGGAGTTCTGGCGGATAACTCTCCGGTGTTTGGAGCGACCGGTCCCGGGTCCCAGTCTGGGTGGAAATAATACTGCTCATTGGGAGGGAGATGCATCCGGCTGACGCATCCCGAGTAGGGTAAAACGCGTGTCTTGGATTCCACTGCTAGCCTCAATCCACTATTTCTGTGAAAAATGAATAGATAACCAATATTCACGGTTAAATTATGCTTCATTCTTGGTGTTTGGAATAATTGTACAAACCAGTTTACGTGGCTTCCAATAAAACAGTAGTGCAATAGGATAAAGAGTCACTTACCTGAATAGACACAATAAAAATTAAGTCAATTTTGTTTGGTTAATAATGAAGATAAGGTAACACAACAAAGTTTATTATCCTTTCACTAAATACCTTAAACTGACTGACATCTTATGTAATAAAGGAAAACAGATGGATGAGAAAACCTGGAAATCGAATGACTGACCAGTAAAGTAGGTGTATACACATAATGACAAACAAGTCACAAGAACTTAGTAGAGATAAGTAATATGTGAAGGTCTTCTAGTGTGCTAAACGTTATCTTAAATTTTGGAGGGTATGTCCGTCAGAAATCAGTGAGATGCAACAACAATAAAGAATTGCTCATAGATTAATTAGTAGGGCCAATTTTATGATTTCAAAGTGTCTACCATGAACTGTTATATTCTTGGGAACTGCTAAGAACTAGGGGACATTGAACAGTTGTTTTATCCCATTTTGGGAAGAACTTGAAAGGGATGGAATGCAAATCAACCAGGTTTTATAGCAAGTATTCTGTTATTCAGCCATTAGATTGAAATCTAACAAAATACTTTGTATGCTTCTATCAATCTGTGGTTTAGAGTGAATATCATTCAAGGCTATCGGTTAGTATTTGTCCTGACACCCAACTTAATTGACCCTGAAGGTGCAAACGTCTCCTTGGAACTTAATGAGATGCATCTTGAAGTAATTTACCAATGAGCGTTGGGAGATGGTCAAACTACAACAAGAAGTGACAAAAGCTAGGAAACATTAACTTTCGGATTCTAAATTTCCGACTAATTTCGATAATACGTTTGACTATCTACAAGAAGGGTGATCTCCCACCTGTGCTTATCAAATTTTCACACTGCATCTGTTTTTGAAGCTATTTAGGTACACATTCTTCCACCCTCAACTGCATGTCTCGGTTACTCCTCACGGTTTATCTGTGTCCATAAACACATGTTAACTGTCCACGCATAAATGTGGAGGAATAGTCCAGCCATGTACCTAAAGGGCTTCAAAAACAGATGGAGTGTGAAACTTTGATAAGGGCAAGTGGGAGACAACCCACTTCAGATTCTAACCAATTAGCCGAGTGGTGATATGTTCTTTGTAAGACTTGATGATCATGGATTCAGTTCTGTAGAGGGTCACGGTTTGTGACTGCTGAGCAGTCTTAGAGAAGTACGAAGCAGTTGCTCAGTGCTGCGTTTCTTTAGTTGATACCAAGCCACAGTGAATAGTTTGAAGTCAAAAAGTACCCCAAAAGCCTGTCGATAGAATTTCATTTTTCATTTCAAATGCATGCCAGCAAAGGAATGAACAATAGCAGTGCGGATGAGAAACTTATCCACTTCACTGTTTGCCTCCATGCCGTGTTCTTGAAGAATTCATTTGGAATAGTACTAATAGCATTCAAGTATAAAAGACGGAAAGTTTCACTTCCGAAATTATTTAATCGGATTCCTGAATTTAGTTTTTCAATATTCTTGGGATCAGATTAGATACATCGATTGACAAAAAATTATGATGAAAGGCAACTTTAGTTTTACAAGTGACTGTAACCCCTTTAATGTGAAGTTCATTTCTCTACCATGTGGAAAAACATCAGGAAAAAGACTCTCTTTGTTTAAAATGTAGTGAAATATGCTTGTAATGCGGATGAGTTTCACTGAAGAAGACATTTTGCAAGTGTCTATATGAACTTACGAAATTTTTTTTTGTAGTGTTTATGTATATTTGTACATGAATTCACAATTGTGTAGCCGATAAGTGCGAAAGACGCATGGAAAATTAGATTTTAATATTATTCGAGAAGCAAAGTACAGGTACAAAAGTAGTAAAGCGAACCAGATAGAGTCTTGACCTTTATCTACATATGCTATGTCCTTCTTTCAAGTCCAAGGGAACTTCCAGAATGTGAATATTTTGCTACTTCAGTACATAGTTTGCTACAAAGATTGAGAAAAACCCGTGAAATCGTGACTCGGTAGTCGAGAGAGTCGGCTTCAAACGAATGCCTCACGGATTTCGGCAACACACTGCCCACTGATGTTTTGACAGTCAAGAAGTGTCAGCAAAAACAAATCATTGTCTAGTTCATCAACATGCATGTGGTTATTGAGAGAGAAGTGCTGTTGTCACTTATAATGTTGCCATAATGAGTATGAACTTGGTTTAAATTGTCCAAGTAAAATTGCCGAAGTTATCAGTTGATAGGTACGTAGGAATAGAACGATTTCAGTTATAATCCAACACTTTATCACGCAGTTGTATGCATAGAGGAGATCAAAAATATAGTATATATGCTGATATGCTTGTTGTTTAGGTCATCAGGATGATGAATGATGTTACAAGAAGAAAATGGTAAAGTTTTAATGCCTTCAGTTAGGTGCTTTGTGAATATTCGGCTAGTTTGAAAATACTCAATCAAAAACTAAGGCTAGTCAAGAAACCACTGAAATTCATACAACAATGAGCAACTGTTTTTTCGTTGGTTTTCACCATAATCGAATTCAGGAATTTCAGATCTGATGATTATTTTAGTACAGTTTGGAACTTACTAACCGATATTAACAAGTTGAATCACAATCTGTTTGATAATACCATTAACATTGATAGATGGCTGTCACCAGTTGGACAGCATTGCAGTTCCAGTGATTCCGTCGATGATATTAGTTTACCATGAAAACTATCTCCAAACTTATAGTTCCCCACAAACCGCTTGAGTGGTTACTGTTCTATTTTTTTATTATTAACTTGCTGCAAGATAAATTTCCCAAACATTCTGGCAAGAATCCATGAGATACAACCATTTCAAGGTAGACTTTCGCCAGGAATTCCAAATCATGGGTTGCTGGAAAATTGTCCAGTAATAATTTCAGTACTGCTGTATTTTTACGATTGAAGTCTTATTTCGTCTTACAAAAGTGATTGTATCGAAGAGGAACTGTGGTTCATTACCATATGCTGTTTCCATATATTACTTCAGTGTACCTAAATCTTTCATCCTAAATTAATCAAACCAGGCTGTAATGGAAAAAAGATTATCTTTTTGTACTGGCTGATGACTGAAGGTGAAACGAAAACCTGGGTAGCATCCGAATTCAAATAAGCCACCTACAGGCTACCGAAATAAAATATGCAGAGAAATTTCATACTACTAAATAATAGTATAAAAACTAAGTGTAAATTTATCAAAAATATACATCTTTGTTGTTTCTCTATACTTTTCACCTTGTTATATGTTTTTCTACGTAGGATGTTGTTGATGAAAGAGATGAATTAAAGCAGAGAATAAAAGACTATCTGAACGAATTATCACGTTTAGAACGTGTTTTGTCAGAACGTGACAGTGAATGTAACAAACTGATAGATCAATTGAGAACAGCAAATGAAGAGGCAGAAAGCTGGAGAATTCGATGGGAAACAGCTGAAAATAAATTGACTACTTGTAAAGTAGACTTGGAGGATAAAGAAGCTGACTTATCGAATGAACGTGAAAGATCCGATATAAAAGACAGAGAGATATCACATTTACGTGCCACACTGAATTCAACAGAGATACAGGTTAGTATGCGTGAAATACTTTTCTCTTATGTAATTTTCTTATTTAATTAGAATCATTTACATTAATGAGAATCCGTTTAAAGGAAACAGAAAATTAAAAGATAAACGACAATCTTTTGTAAGTACCTGGATGTAACTTCTTGATTTGTAGAGTTATAATACAGACCAATGAAGTGGTAAACTGTAATCGGATGAAAAGGTAACGCTGTGAAAGTGTTCATACAACTCTGAAGCTGTTCAGAAATCGACTCAAACATGCAAAACTTAGTTCTCAGTGTAGAGTGATACATAATAAAGGTTTCAAATCATCATGGTTACAAATGTTTCTACATGTTGTTGTTATCGGAAGAGAATCAATGCTTCTTGAGAAGTCATACATCCAACCTCTTCATAAAGTGTCATCATTATCTATAATCAGACCAAAAGGGTGATTAAAAATGTACCTCACTTTGTGATCAACTTCAAAACAATGCATATATATATTCACAGTGGTCTTACTTCTTTTCTGGAATGACCAAGGGAATAATACTAATGATAATAATAGTAATAACGCAATGAGACACTTGGATTGGGTACGAATAGCGACTGTTCTCCCTCAGAACCTTATACTTCACTTAGCCCGACAAAGACCGGCCTGTGATCGTAAGGAAGATAGTTTACTCGACACAAATGCATCATTTATATACGGTTTACATGAATATATAAAACCGCTAGGTCCAAAGTTTTATGTTTGTTTTTATTAGGACAAATTGCTCAATAAGATTTATCCTGACCACACAGTGACATAAGATAAATGTTGAAATCCAAAACCTTCACTTTAGCGGCTGATGACTTCAAATATTGATTTCCATTTAGATCACTTCCAATCATTTCCTTTGCCTTCTCTATTGATTTGGTCTTTTCAGCCGATTAGACTTTATTTGATGAAGTGACTGAGATTGATTAATTAGATTCGATTCAACTGGCTAAACAGTAAAATGCTCATCACTGATGTGCAATACACCGTGAAGTTAAACTTTCTGTATTCAGTTAATTTTTTTGAGGTTGTTCTCTAAACGAAGATTTATTTTCAAAATATATAACTTGTTCTCATAGAGATATGAATACTTACATAACATGTTATTGACTGCCCTCTAAGACATATTTTCATCATGAATTATACCGTAAACTTGGGTTTCGCTACTTCATAGAGATTACCTGTAACTTTATCCCTGAAATGAAAACGAAGAATTACCAGTGAAGTAGCCTTAAACACTCATTGGAACTGACCAATGAGATATTGGTAGAGCACGATTCCCACGTATTACGCACACGCTTCCTTAGCCCTAACCCTGACCTTTCTCCGCACCTAAACTAAATCAAGAACTAAACCCAAATTTTATATTAAACTTGATTATTTGATGTCATACAGTGATGAAGTATTATTCACCGAATGAAGTTTCGAGCATAAACTATTGGAGTGACTTTATAGGTCACCTTAACAACTGCTAAAATAACCAGTTACGTTTATTTATTTTATGAAGAATTACCTTGTCAAATGAAATAGAGAAACCTGACTGGCTATTTCAGCAGGTGCTAGAGTGGCTATTAAAATCACTCGATTATTGTTTATAGTTAATAGAAATTAATCATTCAACTTTCAATAGTTCTATCGCTTCGTGTTCAATCGTTAGTGGTGGTGAGATTTTCCTCATCTGCGGTAAAAATTTTGCTTCATTCCTGTAATGCGTATCGGGTATTGATTCCGTGAATAAAATATTTGGTAATCGGTCGCTTTCTCATGTTGAACTTAGGTATGAATGATTTGTCCCATCCTAATATTTGGTCGCATCTCAGTGAATACATTGCAACAACTGAGTTTCATTCCAGATGATTGATCTTAGTCGAATCTATCGTTTGAATTTCGGCTAAATTCTTACACTCCGATGATCTATCTGGCCCTGATAGGCTGGTTTGACCTCACATCAGCCAAAGAACTATTGGGGACCTGGGATCTCAATTTTCGGGTCTTAGACGGGAACTCTTAAGCAGTCCACACCTACCATCCCATTGAAAATAGAACCCAACATTGTCTTATCTCACAGCAAGTATGTTATTACACTGTTGCTGGGTCAAAATATAATGACATATACTTTCCAGCTTCTGGCGCTTTGTAAACAAGGCGCAACCGTACTTCAGTGAGTATTCTTCCCTACACCCGATTTCGTTGATCCACTAGACTTTCACTAGAACTTTGGGAAGTCCATATCGAAGTTTGTCACTATCTAGCATAAGATTTTTACTCAGTCTGAATGTCTGGTGCTTTCCTAATGGAGCGATATAAGACAAGAAATCACTGAAAACCTTGGAGAACTGGATAAGTGTTTAGTCCCAGTTTGGGACTTAATAGCTTAATAGCAACATACTCTCCGTGAGATCTGATGGTTGAGTTCTATCCTCAGCAGGGTTGTGCTTAGTCTTCAGTAATTTCTTACTGATATCAGTTCGTAATGAAACTTGAAGGCTTTGAATATCAGGTACAAGTGTACACCTAACATGATCTCATTAACCCATATTTGAGTCCCATAATTTCTGAATCAATATCTAGCTGATTTTTCACTGCCTCGAGTATCACATTGATTAGCATGTCATTAAAAAGGCTTCTTACATAGAAACCGATCATTTTTACGTCATCGAAATGTATGTCGAGTTTTAGTTTTTAATTTGTAGAAGCTAATTAATCTGGGATTTAAATGGTCACTACAAGGATATAATATTGATTTTGGAGTATTTCTGAAGTTAAACATCGGTCTTATAGGATAACTTGCTTTATGGAATTAAAGGTAACATAAATCCTAATAGGATTATTTTTATTAAATATTCAATTAAACTATTCATACTGATACAGAGATGATGTCAGTTAGCTAACTAGGTCAGTGGTAGGTTTCTGAACCTTATTCATGAAAGTGCTAATAAGTTTCATGATCTCTTCATATGCTTTCGTCCGGTTTTATTGAAATAAACTGACTTATCTATAACCGATTATGAATTACTTTCATCGAATTCCGCTATCATCATGCCACTGTCATTTCGCAAACCAGTTAGAATTGATGCCTCTAGTCTTATAAAATTTCATTCTGTCTTGCTTTTTAAGTATTAGTGCATACTGTACTGTAACCTGTCCGAAGGCGTTCCTATCTAATGGACCTAATGCCTCTTCTATTCTAGGTAAGACATCTTTGGGCTGTAGGTAACCCAATGCTAAGCTGGAATTTAGTCCTGTTTCAAGTATTTTCGAACTGTTTCAAGAACCCTCTTTTTAATCGTTTATATCTTAAATGACAGTGATTAAAAATCATCTAAACACTAGCCCTGTGAGTATTTAGAAAGGAGTAATGAAGTCTTTTCATAGTATGCCATTACCACACTATCAATACAAAATTATTCTTTACATTTTAGAGTAATGCAACTTCTCGTTCACTAGTTGAAGCGAATGAACAACTAAGAATATCTCGAGCAGAAATCGATACACTTACTACAGAAATATCACGAATACGTGATTCATTATCTCGTTGTGAAACAGAAAAATCAAATCTACAACGTGAAATTAACTCACAAAGATTAGATAATGATCAACTACGTGCACAATTAGATGATTTTGAAGTGGAACTAGAACAAATTAAAGAACAATTAGAAGAGGAACGTGAAAACACTAGAAATATGAATGAAGTATTAACAATTACACGTCAAAAACAACAAAAAGCTTTATCTGAAGCTCAGGTGAGTATGAGAAAATTTCTTCAGTTATTTTTATTACTTCATTACGAGTACTAAAAAAGATACATTGCGAATTGAGATTGTTTGTTTAGCGATAAGCCAGTCGATGAACACAACAAGTACAGATACTGAGAACTTTTCACAGAATTATTACTAGTAAGTACGTTTTAGTCATCTCGAGTATTTCCTTTCGTTTTTAGATCTTGTATATATTGCATTCCTGTAAGTATAAAACAAGTATTTGCAAAATTTTACATGATTTGTGAGAACGGTATAATATTTCAAGTTGTTATTCGTCGTAGACTGACATCAGTTGGAGGAAAAAAGGAAACCTTGGAGCACTGGACAGCTATTCCGTCCTATTATGGAACTCCTCAGCAGTGGACACCCACGATCCTGCCAGGGATCGAACCTACGACCTTCAGGTTCCGTGACTAGCACGTTATCATTGAGCCATTGAACGGTAAAACTCGAGTGTCAGATATCACAGTGGTTTCTTTCAGAGGAAAAATATGTTCGAATCATGAACTGTGATCTGCTCAGCACCAAAGAGAGGCATGAAAAAAAGATACACTGACTAAAAGAAAAAAGGCAGTCAAAATCAAATATCAGGAGGAAGTATATTCGAAATAAACAGTTGTGAACGCCAATACAATGGAAATTAACAGTTGGAATTGAAGTATTTCGGAAAAATTCCATTCACTTCGATGACTAGCAAACGTAACTCTTTCAGGTTAATAAGCATCAACAAATGCGGGTGGACAGACAACAAAAAATAAGGCGAAATTTATTGCCAAACCTTGTCTGCATGGGTGTTAGTATAGAATATGATTGGTTGCTTGGAATTATGTTGTGCATGCCATACCAACGCTTATCTTGATGTGCAATGTTAACCCCAACAGGATTGGAAGAGGAGAAGGTTAAAAGTGGTCAGATAAAAGTTGTAATAAGTTCATGAGGTTTCTGATTGTTCACCTAAGTCTTTAAGGAAGGTGTAGGCCACTTGACTGAGTTTCTGGAGATGACAGGCATCAATAATTAGAGACTCTTGGTGATGTGACCTAAAATCGATCATAGTTATGCAAATGTATACACTCTTTGTCATCTTCGAAATCTTTAACAACTTCATTTAACCTTATTCTGTTTATTCTCTTTCTCCTCTCATATACTTTTCCTTACTTTATTATCAATTGTTTGGTACCCAACTTTTGTTTTCCTTCTGATTGTGAAGTGTGGGAGCTTGAACCAATGTACTTTTGTGCCAAGTTCTACGTTGATTTTTCCGTTTGTTAAGATTTAATGCGTAAGTATCGAGTTGGTTGTTAATCTTCAGTGCACTTCTGCTGAGCTACACGAAACTTTCTTATGGTTGGATAACAGCTCAACTATCTAGCCGCACAGAAATACCTGATTCGCTAAACACAATAAAATGTTCTCAATCACTGACTGACTGTCTTCGTATTGTTTAGTGACTTTCCTTGACTTGATTGCGAAAATTCAATTTCTTTGTACTTCGCCTTGTACCTTGATGTTATAGTGGGATTTGGGATAAACTGAACGAATACTCAGTAATACCAATTCCTGTGTCAATAAGAAGTGACTGATCATGTGTTTCTGAGAATAAAAATGCTCTGAATACCCTCATTCTACCAAGAGTAACACAATCTTTAGAATACTTATCATTCTCAACATTCGTATCATGAAATATATCTAAATATTTACGAGAATTAGGAGAAAACATTGTATAGACTAAATAATTAATTATCAATTTATTGGTGAACGATGTCTAAAGGTGGAGACTATTGAAAACTGGAAAGATTTCAAGTAGTAGAGAAGATTTGCAGCTCGAAATGATAATCATAATGTCAGATGACTTCATCAAAATTTACTCCATAAACAAATAAATGCTGATAAAGTCTCCTAGCCAGGTGATCAAACGTCCAATAACAAATCTCAAAGCTCGGAGAACACTCAATAATTATCAAACAATGATTCATTTGTACGCTAAGTATTAAACTGTTCAATGCGACTGTGAATATTTCTTTCAAATATTGTCCATTTTTAAGACTGCAAAAGACAGTAAAAAGGATAACTTGTTAACACAGAAGTTAATGTAGGAACTTCCAAAGAAGTACACCGGCCAAAGTTGTGATACTTTGAAAAAGCATAAAACCAAAGAGTGAATAGAATTAGAATACCAATCAGATAAATAAAAGGATTTGAGACCAAAGAGAATAAATCAATGAATATTAGTGAGAATATTCCAAATTTTGAAGTCGGTAAATAAAGAATACATCTGCACCATTGTGATTGATCTTGGATCTTTTTACAGAAAACCGTCGAATTTCATGGAACTTTGCCTTGTTATGATACAGGCACCCATAGATTTTTTTCAAATAAAATCTTAATTCAACTAATATTCTTCCTAGAGCTAAACGACTATCTGGTATATTTAATAATAATAATTTTTCAAACTCCAATTTGCTACAAATTCAAGGAATCCAAAAAACCTTAACCATAATCAAAGTATAACAAGGGGAACTTACCATTAGTAGTAATTTGTGGTTAGTAGTTTATTGTAAGAAGACTAGGCATTCGTAAATCATGCTTGTGAGAATACTAAGTAAAAAACTCCTGCGTCGATTCGCATAACAGGAAGTGATTACAAAATGCGACTTCACGGGGATTGATCTAATCCCAGAAAGATCCTTGGTAGATCTAGAACACGCAGTTAGTCAATACCTGTTAATTAAAGACAAGATGTAGCGTTTTCTGGACGACATGAGTGGCAATTTGAGAATGTTTGGGATGTGTTTCTTACCACCCAAAGGTGAACTGTTGCTCCAGGACAAGTCACTTACGATGCCCCAGTTAACAGTGAAGAGTGAGGTGGTTAAGTGCGTTGAACACTCCACTTACCTGAGAAGTTGGGTCATCCCTGGTGCGTTGGTCAGAGGTCAACAAAATCTTTGCACGGATAAAAAAGGCTTGATTGACTTTTGCCAACTTGTACCATTAATAACACCGCTGCAACATCTGAGTATACCTCACTTCAGTTTGCTCCGTTCTGTTGCATATCTGTGAAACGTGACCATTAAAATTAGAGAACACGAAGGTTCAGGTGTTTGACCACCAATACCCTCGTAGAATGGGTTGTCGTGGTGTCATCATCGTCAGTGAAGCAGAAGTCAGGTGTGCAGTTTTAGGCAGGAAATGAAAGTTAGTTAATGAGGTTGTGAACCTTCATTGACTGAGTATGTATTGTAAGGCATGTCTAGTCACCGTCTGCCCCGTCCTACAGGGTTAGCTGAATGAAGTTTAAGCTGAAAATAGGTACGGGGTGATTGTCTCACCTATGTAGGGAAATGCAAACCAGCGGGCTGGGGTCCATATGACAACGGGAGCCAGTGGTTAAAGACTCTCCGTGATACGGCTCAGACTCGATGTCGGTGACGCAGATGTTGCCACACTTTATCTTCATCTTAACCACCATACCGAATTCAGTATTTTCTCATTCCTCCCTTCTCTCTTTTACTACTTTATACTACTCTTGATAGATTTTTCTTGCTTTTTTCATCTTACTACTTTGTTACTTGTTGTGCTTGTGAGGTATGACAAATTGGACCTCTACGCAGTAATGTCTGGCCCTATGTTGATATCAATGATAATCTGATCAAGCCTTAGGTATCATATAGTTTTTATTGTGCTATGACTGACTGAATAATAATAATTGTCACCTAGCTTCTTAAATTTATTTCATTTACTATTTGATGGACATCAATGGAATTTAGAAGAATATTTCCTATTTCATTAGGGTGGTGGTGTCCACTGTAACTGTTTGGTTAGGCAGACAGGTTGATATTGGATCACTAACCGACTATCTGTTATCCAAGCAAAAAAAAAACCGAAACCCTTCAAACTTCGATCCCTACATACTGAAAACTGAACCTGTATAATTACTTGTACGATCTTGGTTCGACTTGAAATTAACCAAATTCAAATCATACAACCCATCCGATACCTTCAAACGTCAACTGTTCATGTCGATTGTACACATTCACTCACTTTGAAATCTCATTAGATCCATTCACTCCTTTTGTATGCATGTCAATTTATACAATGTAATTTTGACGACCATATCCTCGCATTTTTGATTTTACTTTAGGAACGAACTACTGAAGTTATTGCCTTACGTGATAGAATTACCAATGCAGAAGAAAGAGCAGATATAGCTCAAAGAGAAATTGACAAAGTAAGAGAACGATTGGCTGAAACAGAAAGAGAAGCGAACCGGTTATCTAGAAGTTTATCTGCTGAACGATTTGAAAAAGAACGTGCTCTATCCGAACTACGATTGAGCAGTTTACCAGCAGGTTATAGACCTTCAGGTTATTCAAGGTATGATATCTTTTCCAAATGAAAAAAGTCTAGAAGATTTGGTTAATTCTTTTGAGTTGTATAAGTAAAATTGATCAGTCAAAGTAAGAAATAAGCAATATGATTTTATATCCCAGAAAATAGCATCCAATTTGTTTTGAAGCATCAAAAATGATTTAAGACAATCAGCAGAGTATCGCTAATTTTAAACTTGTGGGTATTTACCACACTTTAATATACAATTTCTCCTTATCCTAACAGTTTTTGTTCAATTATATCCCTTTAAAAAGGATAGTTGATTATTCGCGTTTCCACAAAAAGCAAATTTCGCTTCTACACACATCTATGCTACCAATTCCCCGTTATTTATACATCCAGTTTATGCTATGAGATAATTCTAACAAGAAGAAGTTAAGTAAATACTAATGTTCAAGCTAACTAAATATTAGACTGACGAGTAGGACTGGAGTCAGTGAAAAAGATTACGTCGATAAAATAGGTAGGATTAGACTCTCACTAAAGATATGACTGTGAATAGTATTATCCCCCCCCCAATTTCCTTGTTCTGATGGCGTGTTTGTAGCAAAAGTACGCCTGTTCTGAAAAAATCTTCTATATTCACCCTTAGTTGTCACACTAGTCTGACCTCTGAGTTACAGGCTAAGTGCATTAATGAGTTCAAACATCCCATTATAGATGAGGATTCAGTTTTTATTCAATCATTCAGAGTTATACCCATCTGTAATGTAGGTGAATGATATGTAACTGCTGATTTATTATCAAGCTTGCTACTAAGCCATATCTTTTAGTCACAGTTCAAATGGATATGAATTACAAAAAGGAAGCAAATTGTTACTTGTTGATTGCATTGATATATTTTGTAGGCTTATGAATGCTTGGTGAGAAATTTTTAATAGAATACTTTTGACCTATAAATAATCTCTACTTCTTTTTTAAAATTCAATCTTACAGTTTAGGAGGAACATATTACCCGGGTACTTCAGTCAGTCGAGATCGTATGCCTTATCAAGAAAGAGATGAGTATTGAACAATTAACAATGATACCAAAAAATGACTTCATTGATATATATATATATACATATATATTCAGATTGTAATTTGAACAGTTCACTGAGTGTTTGCTTTTCTTCAACCGCTGTTTCCCTTCTATAATTCTTCAAATTTTATTATATTCTGTGTTTGCTTTGAGAAAACATATACAAACCGGATGGAACGATTTTTATGCTCTTTATGGTTAATCCTTTATATCAGAACCTTGAAATATACGACAATAAAAAAAAGTCAAAACATGTCAAAATTATTTCATTTCATCTAATTATTTTGTTGAATGTAAAACAAATGTAACTCACAAGCAATGATGTAGATGTAATCCACTTTAACAGGTTTAAGAGAAAAATCTTTGGTGGTTTGACCAAAAAGTGGTACTGATTAGTCTATGTAGTCGTTGACTGACTGTCAGTTTAAAACGTTAGGAAAAATGTAGACTTATTGGACGCGGTTACCTCCACAACTGAAATGGCAAGTTGGAGACTGTAAATGTCCCTGGTGGAAAAAATTAAATGGCAGTGATAGAGATATGTCCCAGTTTAATCTTCCCTTGAATCTTGTACATTTCATAACCCTATACTATGTGATATATTTCCTGAGTTATTTAATATATTCAGTTATGAGGTTTGTGGAGATTTATTAACTGATTTCAAGTTTGAATTCATCATGGACTGACGTCCCTTGAAAGAATATTGGAAACCTAGGAGCTTTGGACAGCTGTTTCGTCCTAGTATGGGACTCTGTCGAAGCAAGTCGCCAATGAGCGCTAGATTCGGAAATATAGACCATTGGATTATGAGCCAGTTGCTTAGTGGTAGCGTGCTGGCTGCAGAACCTGAGACCAATCCCTGGAGGGCTCACAGGTGCGCACTGCTGAGGAGTCTCATACTATGACGAAACGGCTGTCCAGTGTTATCATAATGACACCATCAGACTATCGGTAGAACTGATAACTAAGCAAAAAGTGTGCTTTCATTACATATACTTTAAGGATCGCTTAGAATAAAGATACAGGAATATCGATTTCGATATTTTGGTTGATCATCTCATCACATAGATAATCTACTGTTTCCATCAGGAGCATATTAGTGAATAAAGATCATAAACTGAATATCCTGAACCTTCAAATCTCTAATTCTGTCCAACTTAATGTTCCTGTGTAATGATTGATTGTAGAATAAGGAGTTTAATGTATTCAAGGCTATTCAAGTGATTACTAAATCCTCATTTGTTAAAAATTTAACATAAACTCTTTACTCGATAAATGCAAGAGATCTTCAAAAAGACAGGAGCATCATTTTTATTGATGTTTCACGGTCAACCCAAGATAGATATTCCACAACGACCATTAGTTTCACTACTTAGGACACCTTTATACAATCGATCGAAGGCACCTCGTCAATGAAATTAAACATCTAGTCAAGTAGAAAAGTGAATTTGTAGACGAAATAAATGATCCAAAGAGAGATGGCAATGAAAAGATGATATCTTTGCATTCGACTTCACTCTTAACTTTGATCTACGCAAAATTTAGCAAAAGATAGAGTGAATATTCTCATGGAGAACGACTAAAATCTTTAAAAATATACGGGACTCACTGCTTCAAATCTGAGAGAGTTAATAAATATAAGCACACAACCCAATTGCAGTCCAATGGGAATATTTACAGACACGCAAAAAGGACATTTAAGGCATTGATGACTGAAACACTGATGCAAAAGCTGAAACCAACAGTCATCTCCTTCAATACACCACATATTTTTCAGTACGTTGACGACACTTCCGTAATCCTCACAGGAGATGAAGTAGCAGACCCGTTCAAAATAAATGACTAGACATTTGAAGAGATTTACTTCATAAAGGAAAAGGAAGATAACAACAAAATCCTGTTCACAGATGTCCCCAACAGTAGAACACCCAACGAGACGTTGCAAGCTCATACGTATAGCGAAACCACACACAGATCAAATTTGAACTGTAATAGCAAGTACCCTACAGTTCATAAGAAATGATGTGTAATAACACTATTCTCAAGAGCAAAATGACATTTTGGCACTGAAACACTACGGAAACAGGAAGAAAAATACTAGTACAGTGTTCTAAGCTAATTAATATCTATATAACTTCATCAAAAGACGACAATCCAATTACTTCAAATCAATAAGCGGGGTACACTTCTCCACATCAAGGATATTTCAAATACGGTCAAATGATCGCTTCATCCTTTCGGGACTGAAGCGGTACACAGACCAATGAAATCACTACACAGTTTGTTGTGCAAGTCGAAGGATCCATTGTCAAGGTAAGACAGACAAGTATAATCTAAAACATCAACAGCAAAGACTTTTCAGAACATTAAGTTGACCACTCTAGCCATTGGATTGCTCAAAGAATTCAGGAACACCAACTAGGAGTAAAGAAATATGATGCAACCTTGGTTTCAATGCTTGTAGACAGTGATGGTCACAATTTTGACTAGGACAATGTAAAAATCCTCTAAAGAGCAATTTCAAAAGCCCCAAGTGAACTTCTACAAGCATGACATTCCAATGAAAAGTCAATCAACAGACAAGTGAGTACAAACTCGACCTACTTAGGAAGAAAACAGCTATTCATCAACCAAGTGTGGATTGTCCAAACAAATTAATGATAAAGAACAATGTGACATTAACAAATAGCACAATTACATTCTAACAGAGATTTTTTATTAGCGTGACTGAAGGAAATATGAGTTCAAAGGGGTCAAAGTGTGATTGAAATCTCGTCCCCAACTTAGAATCGTATAACATTGAAGTTCAGTAAAAAGACTACCTAAAATTTCGTGTAATGTGAGGATACGCTTCATTTCTTTAAGCAGTTAACGCTGAGGATGTTACCAATCCTGGCGATGAAAGTTCGGAGAACAGCAAGTCACCATCATCCTAATCCATATGGCAGTCACGTGAAACCCTTGTTGATTAAAGTGAAAAAATCTGGCCAGCAGTCGGGTCCTGTAGCTCAATTGGTAGAGCACTGGGCCGGAAACCCGATGACCGCTGGTTCAAATCCTTCTGCCGCCCAAATTTTCATTTCAACTTCAATCATCACCCAGTATGAATATCTAAAACCGATATTAGCTGATCAAAAACAATCATTTCTTGCAGTTTTCTCCGTTTGTAGTATAAAAAGAACCTAGAAAGGTGCTTAATCGATTGAGTAAGCTAATTTTTCAACAATGAGTTGAAATGCACTCAGCAACTACGTGCTGTAGGCAGAGTCATATGTATTATATGAAGTCTGATTTCTAATACTAGCATGTGGCTACCCAGACTTCGGTAGGTAGAGCGGGGTTTGCGTATGCAAACTGCTGGCTGAAAGCCAAGTGCCTAAAACACCGGGATAAACACACATCAGTAACCTACCCACTTGATGAAATAGGTAGCCGGCGAAATTGCTAAAATATATAATTTCAACAAACATGAAAACTAGAGTACTCACCGTATCGAAGGAACCAGTGTTTCTAAGACTTTATGTTATGCATAATGTTAGGAGTGAGACTATGTTATAACTCTTACGAAGACCTTCAGTTATTCTTACTCAACTGAGCGAGACAAACTATCTGATTTCACCTACCTTATATATATTTAGCAGTTTATTACTCTTGTGGAGCTATCTCTATTGGATTCACGATTAAGTAAGTTCACCGCTGAATTTCCAAACATCATCTCTCACAGTTGACAGAAGGATAGATAAAGAACTTTGTATTCGTACGAATTGTCAAATCTAGACATTAGTTTGACATTACCACAGTTTTCAAACTTATTTGTTGCGTTCCTAGCAATTTCATCCAACCTTCACGACTTTGTTTTGAAACAGATAAATTCATACTGTTATCACCACCTGACTGGCATAATAGATCGTAATGTTTTTTTTAAAAATCTATGTACTGGTGTAGAGCTATACACTAGAAAAGTTTAAAGGGTCAATTGGCTGTTTTCTAAATGCCTATAAAGAAGATTTTCACTTTACTAATAGATGAATACCCCAAAGACCTTGCTGATCTTTTCCCATTGCTGAATGGTTTAGGCAGTCATTGTTATATCCATGCAATCAACAAATAATAATGCTTAATAAGTGCCACGACATAACCATCTACCTTAGATATCCCTTGATTATACTCATTTTACTTACGGTTGCTTGTAAGATCCAAAACTTGTCATATGAAACAAACTTAACCACTGATGAATTCAGCATCTTTTCTTCAAAATGCTGTTACATTATACAACGAATGGTCGATGTAACTAAAATACGGCAGTATCTCTGCAAGGAGCTTATTTACTAGCTTACAGAGATGGATTCAGACTGAGAAGTGAAGCTGCTGAGTGACGTCCAGTGAGAAAGACAACACTCTGATTTAAGTACAACAAATAGGGAAAAATGAACATGTTCGAATCCATTGTTAAATACTAATAGAGTGGCAGATCGCTGGCTTAGCCATCTAGTTTTCAGACAGTAAGTTTCAGCCTCATAACACCGACTCTAGTAAGAGCAAGCCAGTAGTACTACAAGCCGCCATATGTACGATTCACAGGCCAAAACATAGAGCATGTGGCGGTTTGAGCTGCTTTATTTATTGATTATTAACTAATGAACCACTTGTCATTTGCAAAGAGATAAATAAAAAGTAATTCATGAAAAATGGTTGACATCCCAAAGTGAAATAAATTGAAGAACCCGTAAAATTTCTGAAACTATTGAGCAGTTTTTCGGTATAAATTTGAGTTACTCGCATTTTCTCAAAAGTGACACAAAAAGTAATTAGATAATGAAACAAATATACTAGAAAATTGAACTGAGCATTACTTATTCAACTTGACTTGTTTCATGATACAACTATTTAGTCCCTTGATGAATTTGCATAGTGTACTAAGAAGAGGGAGGTCATGTGAGAAATGTAATTTATTCATGCAGTACATTTCGAACAGCCTGATCACACCTTAACTTGTCAAGACATTTTATATGAAGGATGAAAATGGGATGGAGTGAGATAAATGAATTAAGATAATACAAGATTTGGAAAATATAAGAATAATAAAGAGGAATAATACATTTTCACACCTCCCTTGGCTTTAAAATGAGATAAAGATTACCAAGATAGGTTTAAGGTAAGGACAAACTGCTTTTGTATACACAAATGGGCTTTGAACTTTCGTATAACTAAGGCTGTTTGCACTGAAAGATACTTTCGAACTTATTGACCATATAAATGACATAAGTATCAAAGATATTGCTTTGATGTAAACGCTTTATTCACCAACGTGACTTTAACCAAGACTGCTGATATTTTTTGTGACTATATATCCTTGAATATTTCTTCACTACTATACACCGATAAGGTTCACTTCACTTTCGAAGGTGAACATTTTCGACAAATTGATAGTGTCGCTATAGGCAGTCCTTTAGGATCATTGTTAAACGATGTCTACATGTCATATCTAGAACTTTTGGCTGAGGACATTATCAACAAAGTACTTTCTGTACAGGAGATACGATGATGATATCTAAGTTATGTGTAACAAATGCAAGGAGGTGAAAAGTCTTATGGTCAACTTAACACCGAACCAAGCCACATTAGTTTATCATGTGAAGCAGATAATAATAATCAGCTTCCTTTTCTTGACTTGTTATTAACTAGAAGAGAAGATAGATCGATAGAAAGATCAATGTGTAGAAAACCTACGTGGACTGAGCAGTACCTTAACTTTCATAGTTTGTGTCCAATACAATACAAACAAGGTTTAGGAAAATGCTTATTCAACATATCTGCACAATATATACATTGGAAGAATTCAAATTTTTAACAGAGATACTCATAGAAAAAGCATATCCTCTGAAGTTCGTCAGTTGTTATAAAAACATCTCAACGGTGCGAACTAATCAATATTCTGTCCCGAAGAAAGATGCTTACATCATGCTACCGTATAATAATAATAATCACTTTATTCCAAACAATATATTGACAGTGTGGAATTCTCAGCATGTAATTTCTCAACAAATCCAGAACAATACTTTCAGACGAAACGGTTATTACATCGGAATGATGTTAATAATAACAGTATTCAAGGCAATAATGTGTGATAGTCAGCTGGTTCTGGATGAGAATTTGGTCAATAATGAAGAATCAATTTTGGTGGTGGCGGTTTATTCAGACAGTACAAAAATCTGCAACTCAAGCAAAGCATCTGACGGATAGAATTATGATGTACTTTTTTGCACTGAAAAGTCCATTTCCACATAACGTAACACTTTTTCTCTGCTTTGTTATTGACTCAAGAAACAGAGTTGGAAACAGTTTAAAAATGTGCAAGAGAGCATGATGGGTTCAAAGGACATATTTAAGTGATTAAAACAAATTGAAAGGAAAGAATTTGATGAGAAATATTCCATGGATAAATTTGGTGGCCCACGGTTCAAGCAGGTCGTCATATAAGAGGGAACCAAACAGCATGATCTTAAGATAAAGTCTTAATTCAGTTATTGAGAAGACATACTACGCAGCCAAGCTCAATATTATAGAGAAAACGAAATCTATGCTTCAAAATAAACCTCATCACTTCATAAATGATTGCGTCACATCCCTCTGTGTATACCAACTTACCTGTGTGTGTGATGAGAATACATTGGGAGGAGTAATCGAACTATGAAGTCGAGGATCGTAGAGCATATCCCTAAATGGCTAGAAAAGTAATTACATTCAAATAATCCGGTAAATAAAGGGGGCAGACAGGCATCATAGTCCACAGGTAAACACATTATAGAAACATGTCACAGGATTGACCCGAAAACAGCCTTTAGACCATTCTATAGGAGCCGTCAAGACCGTATACTTAGGTTCATTGAGGCCTTAGTTATACGAAAGTTCAAAGCCCATTTGTGTATACAAAAGCAGTTTGTCCTTACCTTAAACCTACCTTGGTAATCTTTATCTCATTTTAAAGCCAAGGGAGGTGTGAAAATGTATTATTCCTCTTTATTATTCTTATATTTTCCAAATCTTGTATTATCTTAATTCATTTATCTCACTCCATCCCATTTTCATCCTTCATATAAAATGTCTTGACAAGTTAAGGTGTGATCAGGCTGTTCGAAATGTACTGCATGAATAAATTACATTTCTCACATGACCTCCGTCTTCTTAGTACACTATGCAAACTCACAGTACAACGTCATTATCTTTTAGCTCCATTCGTCTAGCATATCTCACTGTCGTCTTGGCTGGAACTTCTAACGGTAAAAATTCCAAGAAAAAAAGTATATAAATGATTTATGATGATGATGACGACGATATGGACACATCAAATAATGTGGGTGAATATAAACATAGTTAACACTGTGAACTTAACAACTTGCATAGTTGAAACTATTTTTAGGAAGAATAATTATGTATTTTGGTTGTATGGTGAAAGACTCTGTGACGAAAAAAAAACAGCATTGATTGATTCATCGCCAAATATCTTCTTGATAATATTTAGATTTACGCATTTGTTGTAAGTATTCTTCAGCATGTTTCAATTCTTCAACAGACAGTTCAGAATAAGTACACCATATCTTTGTTTGTGTATACTGAATTCTCATTGCAATTAATTTTATCCATGATTGAAAGACTCCAGTAGCTAAACCATATGCTTCACCACAAATCATTATTTTTGCATTTTTCTCATAGACAAAATTCATTAATTGAATATCATGTTCTGAAGGTTTATTATCAATAGAATATTCATGAAAAATGCATTCTTGAACATAATGTGATTTAATTGGGAAACATGCCTGTTCAACTAATTCTGTTGATATTTCATCAAGTGTATATTTATCATTTGGTGAATTTATAGCAGCCCTTGAGAAACAAAGACAAAGATGACTTAACACTTTAGTATTTAATGCATCAGATAATTCCTCTTTAAATAAAAGACTAGACGTTGGAGAACGGCATCCATAAATAAGCCACAAATTACCAGCTGATGCTTGAGTCTAAAAGAAACCACAAAATGAAGCATAAATAACTACGATAAGCATTAGTTAGTAGTAGTGAGAATGTAAGCATATTTCAGGTTGATATTCATCACGCACTGAAATTAGTTGGAGAACCATTGAAAACATGTGAATATTGGATAGCTGTTTCATCATAGTATGGAACTCCTCAACAGTACGCACCCATGAACCTGCCTTAACATCGAGCTCGGGACCTTCAGGTCTCATAGTGAACACGTTAACAATTCGAACACCTGGTTACAGTTCAATGGTCTACAGTTTTCTACTTCTGTCTTAACTTGGCATCCACTTCCCTTCCCACTCACTGACCCCGCAGGTCACGGGCTTCTCATTAGAATTTCGGGATATCCATCTCGAAGCATATCATTAATGAGCACTATACAGTAATGTATTTTGAAGTTAGTGGGGATTTGCTTCTAAGGTGGCATTCATCACGGGCTGATATCAGTTAGAGAACCATCGGAAACTTGAGAGCACTGGATAGCTGTTTCATCCTAGTATGGGACTATTCAGTAGTACCTACCCACAAAAGGGAGGAAGAGCTAACGTGCTCGCCGTGAAAATTGAAGGTCCTAGGCTCGATCCCCAGCGAGGTCATGGGTGCGCACTTCTGAGGAATCTCACACTGGGACGAAATAGCTGTCCAATACCTTCAGGTTTTTAACAGTTCTCAAACTGATATCAGTTCATGATGAATACCAGCTGGAAATCAATAAAATCCACATTATCCTAAAAACACATTAATGTAATGTAGTGTTTCATTCAATTCCCAACATGTACGACAGATAAAGTGTATCATATTTCCATAAAAACTAGGACTTAATACACATAACTATCTATTTTGGATACAAAGAAGATTTTTTTTCTCAGAATTATGAGAAACCGATAAGACAACGAACAGAATTCACTAGCTGGCTTTGTGTAAACACCAAGCAAAAATAGATTATTAAGATATCATATATACTTTAATCAGCTGTCAATTCAACTTCATTTGTGACAGAGTTAAATTTACTCCGTGTAAAGAGTTTTGGTACAACACAAAAATATACTGATTCTGTGAACCAAAGAAAAAGGAAATCCTCGGTGATATGCTGAATCGAACAAGATGTTGGCGGACTGAATAGTTTTTCAAACGACAATGACACAGTTAAGTCAGACGAAATTGTAAATTCTCAACATCATTCCCTTTGTAAACAAAACTATTTAGACTATGATATGTTATCTGTTCAAAATTATAAGTACCGTTAAGATCGTGAGCACTGCTGACTAACCTTATCATTTCAACTACTAATGCCTATTAGTAGTATAATCTGTTACCATGAATAAAACAACTATTATACAGTAAGCATAGGTTACAATTGCTATAGTAGTTTGTAGACTGTTACTGTACTCTATTTACTGGATGATTGAAAAAATATACGGAGGTGTGAGAATGAATGATAATAATTAACGATTGACAGTCGAAGGTTGCGAGGGTTCAACCTGAGTGATTCGCAAAGAGGAATCAAAAGACTGGAAATCAGCTGAGTTTACAGTATTTCGAACTGAAAACGTTTGGATCTTATTTATAGAGTTTACGGTAACCTTGAAGTGCAAGAAATAATTGGTGCACTTAAAGAGGCAGGAACCAATCAAAACGTTATACGAAATATGACCCATGAGCGAGAAAAAGAGCGTGAAAAAAAAAACAGTTCAAATATATACAAATTGTAAGCATGGAATATAAAGGATATGGGCATACTTAACAATACTTTTATTAAAGTTGAAACTACTTCAAACACTGTGATGATAGAAATTATTATCAAATAAATACGCTTTGATATAATACCAGCGTGTTTATCGAAATCAGAACAAAATTTTCCCCAATATTTGGTTGCGTAAGCTACGGTTTCTTCAACAGGATATAGTAGATACATTGGCGACAAGTTATTAGGTGTCTTGTGACCTTTATTCTTATGTTTAATTAATTACAAATTCTTATTTGTATACGTTCAATTCCTAGTACTTTGCCTTTCATCCCGCGTGCACAAATAACAGTTCCATAAGATGCTGCCATATAGTTCATGATACGATAAATCTATCAGTTTCAGGGAGTAATAAATGAAGTGCCACGACTAAATCGTTCAGAGTGAGTTGTACTCTGAGCTAAAATTTTCATTGGAAAGAACTTTTCAATGTCATGCTAGATGTCGTCATGAATGCATTAGGGCTATATAAGGAAGTGAACTAGCTGGTTTTGAGTTACGCGCTACTTTGCCTAAGTGTTATTTGATTGGTCGCTTCGTGGAAGCGTGAGCGTATGCTGAACCTGATTGGCTGACTCCCTGCCAAGTAAAACCCTAGCTCAGAGAACAAAACACTCTGAATATTTACACCCTAAACAACAAATATTCGCCGCAATAAGTAAATCAGGAATTCTGTCCTTGTGAATGTTAATCAGTGCACAACATTACTTCACATCGTACCCCTGTTCGGGTTACCAGTCGACCATTCATTCGATCACCTTCTTTTGTGCAGATAACGAGTTACTTTATGAAACAGTATTTCTTATTAGTGTGGTTTTTCATCACATGAGATAAATATCATCAATATTGGAGGAAATGTTTGACTTGAGATCAACTGCTACCGCCAACGAAACAGCAATTACTTCATTAAACCGATGACAAAGCAAGATGTGGGAATGCTTCAAATGATTTTAAAAACTCTTAGATAGAATTCTACAAAAGACTGCATACTGAATGGAAAGCTTGTGTACTATGTCGCATATTAAACCTAATGCTGCAGACATTAGCATGCAGAATGGGTTAGAAGAAGAGGGAAAACCATACATTTGCTTAATATCAAACTTCCTTGAAATGAAATGTCAAAATTCGATACGGATATTGTGTTGCACACTTCGCTTAACAGACCTCAAAACGAAATATTCGTAAGCTTTTCAGTCATATTTATTACAGTTTCTTACTCTTTTGTATGTCTTTATCTACACCTACTAGCAGTACTCATTAAATACAGTGGTAATAACAGTGTTTAAGCCTATGCTATAAAATTAGTCATAGAGACTGGTTAGCTAATTTGCACCCTTAAACTAATTTTCATGATGTTGGTACCCAACTTTTTCCGTTTCAGTGAAATATATTAACCAAATAAAGACTTTTATATAAGACTTTGAGATACACTAGTAAAATGAAGGTTATGTGGCTTCACAGTAAGATGAGGGTTGTTCCAAGTCGAAAAACCAAACTGCGTTGATAAATCGCTTTGGCTCGAATGTAATCGAGAAACAGCCAAAAGTCAGATTGCATTGAAAATCCCCTTTTTCTTTTGTGCTTATTAGTACTAATCAGGGGTAGAATCTTTTGAAAACTGAATTTATCAACCTCAAAGTTTTGTGGTGAGTATTATAGTTTGTTGAACTGCTGGGTCTCGGGATCACCTGTAAATATTTTCAAAACTCAATCAACTAGTGCTAAACTCGGTGTCTATGGGAGTATACACTGGTGATTCAAAAATCCATGATAAATCACTGGAAACTAATAAACGGGTTGTCTTTATCAAACCAGTTTGCAAAATTAATTTTACATTAGGGACTTCTCGATTTCCAATTCATGAAGTTAACATGTCCATTGAAGAACTTTACAGTCAAAGGTTTAATACTGAAAAAAGAGGCTATAAGGGTGGACTAATGATATGTCTTACGATGGAAAGAAATAATTAACTTAGTGAAATTAGCAAAACAGTGAAAAATCATTTATTGATACCTGTAATTTCCCGTTGTGATATTGGATTGAACTGCGCGACCTCTGTTGGCAGATGGGTCCCTATGTGGATGCCTTGATGCCGCCTGGATATACATTATATTGTAGTTGATTTGATGCCTAGCAGAGAAATCCAGAACGTGCTTTTCGAGCAACTCCATCCAGTATTGAGACGGGAAATTACAAATATCAGTAAATAACAACTGACACTTGTTCTACATGAGGTGGCTGCCGTGTTTCAGTAGCCTAGTAAGTAACGCTTTGGCGTTTGGAGAGATGGATTCGAGTCTCAGGTGGGAAGCCAGCACTCACTGGGGTCCAGGTAAACTCAACTGATGAGTCCAAAATAGGACGAGACGTTTGTCCAGGATTTTACTGCTAACCAGGAAGTAAACTTTTGTTGAAGTATCGTCTTTAAAAATGTTCGATATATCAACTCAAAAGGTGAAGAAGCATATCAAGAAAACAAACATCATAAAAAAATTAAATAAAACAACTTACTTTAAGGTAATCACGTTTACGTTGCCTTATAAAGCTGATAAATGGTGCTATCCCACTTCCAGCACCAATCATAATAATTGGTTGATTGATATCAGCTGGTAAATTAAATTGTGTAAGATTTTGACGCAAGTAAACGTGAATAGTTGGAGTTTTTAAGTTAACAAAAGTATTTTTGAAATAATCATCAGGTTGATTAATACCAAACCATATCCTTTCTAACCAACCAGTACAAGTTCCATGATATCTATGAGGGTAACGACAAATAATACTTGAAGCATTATCATGACTATTACTATTAACAACCATATTTTCAAGAAAGTCAACTCGAGTAAAAATAAAGATGAGATCTTGTTCTTGAGATAATGGTTCATCAACTAGATTGATAAGTGTATATGAACGTGGTTGTAGGCGTGGTAGGATTTCTAACAGTCGTATGAAAGGCAACCGGCAAGATGAAAATATATACAGAATATCCAAAAGATTAAGTTCCGGCTTTTGAATGTACCTGGAAAAAAAAAAGATTAATCAAGATTATTAACAAACACATATACTGAAGTGTTATCTTTTGATTCAATGAAAACTCGAGTATTATTTACTAAAAATGATAATTCACAGCGTTATTTGAATGCTTCAAACGTCATCCCTAGAGTGATTTGAAAGGCCACCCCAGCAACAACTGAAATAACCAGTTGGATTTTTCTCTTTTATGAAAATCTGCCTTTCTAGGCAAAAATGAAGAAACCTAATTGGTTACTTCCATCGTTGTTAGGGTGGTCTTTAAAGTCGCCCTTATCGCCATCGATACAAATCAAGCCAACAGTATCCTTACTCACAAATTTCAGTGATTACGTAACGTTTCTGGGAGTGCAATTTATGCACTTTGTCATCCACTTTAAGTTGACGGTAAGACAAACATTCAACAACATACTAAATTTAATCCTAATTTCACTTGCCCTCTTGCCTGACACATGCATCAACGACAATGATCAACTGTTGATACCTTGCTTGTTAGCCTAGTGTAACTGTAAAATAATCAATTTGCAAATGCTTTGTAAATTGCTTGGTGGTGTCAACAGGGTTTCCGTTAGAAAACACTAAGATGAGATCATAATGTGTGATCTCTGACACAAAAGTTTCATGAGCTTACGAAAGATGCTACTACTGAACAACTTCAGTAGTTAGTATGCCGGTCCATACAAGTCAGCTGGACCAATTCACGTTTAATCAACTGAGTTTTTCCGGGTACACAGCTGATGAGCTAGGCCTCGAACGAGCGAAACGGCCGTCCGATATTGAGATCACTCTCATCTGGTTGGTGAAATACTACAAACCAGCGCGAGTGGTTTCTAACTACTCAAGTTATTCAATAGTAGTATCTTTCGTGTTTTGAAAAAATGGTGGAAACAATGTGCATTCTATTTACTTTGTTCTTCCTAAGGATTTATTAATTGAAACCTCCTTATTTTCTACCCGACTTAAGACAGGCAGAGAGAAAAAGTCTACTTTATTATCATTCACTGTTTTGTGTACAGTCTAGTTATCATAGGTATAATACAAAATAAAACCAAACTTCCAACTTAAATGTATCGCATTTATTCAGAAATTGTGTTGAAACAATAGAAACCCTACGAGTTTTCCTTGTTGTATGCAGTCGTGTAGCTAAAAGTTCAATTTCCTCGGCTGTTGTATTCATCATCATGACTAACTGATATCAGTTCAAAAGAATGAAGATGGCGTTAGCAGACGGTTGACTGCCATTTATACGATAGTCTAATCATTTGTACAGTCAGAAATTAAATGAGCATAATTGAGGTCTATAAACGAAACTAATGAGTTCAAATTAGTTTAGGTCTAAAATTACCATCTACTGAACCCATTTAATTTTCTGAAGAACATAGTCTCTTTCGAAAACCATGTACATAATAAGTGAATAGAAAGTCTATATAAACACAATTTACACTTCTACTATCTGTTTAAAATACGTTTGAAAACGATTAATTATTTAAAAACAGTTCCGTATCACAGTCTCATACTTCGAGTACATGTAGTGAAATTATCTGTCTGGAATGCATGAACATTTTTCAAAGCCCCCAAGACTACTTGGAGAAGTAATGCAAGCATTGATGATAGGATGATAATCATGAAACTCACAAATCACATAAATGCCATTTCTTCTTCAAGAAGGCACAGTAGAGATAGATAATCAGCATTCTTGTAGACAGTATATATTGAACTGTACTGTCGCTTAATTATGTTTTTTTGACAACAGTTCATCTGATATATTTGAATGTCCTAGATTTTGAGAAATTCATCTCGAGAAGATATGGCTATAATTCATACCATTTTTACCCGGTGCGTAGAGAAGACAAAGGTGATGAAGATACCCAACCACCACCACTAACAACAACAACAAGCACCAACCACCATCAACGAGAGAAATCTAAAGAAAGTTGTTTCTTTCACTTATCTAGGCAGTATCGTTTCAACTACAGGCAGCACAGATGAGGCCGTCAAAGCCAGAATCTGAAAAGTAAGACAGGTCTTCATTGATCTGAAATCAGTTTGGAGATCTACTGCACTCAGCATAAAGAACAAGATCTGGATTTTCAACACTAATGTCAAGTCAGTGCTTCTATGTAATGGTTCAGAAACTTGACGCGTCACGAAAAGCATTTCCAAGAAACTACAGACATTCATCAACAGCTGCCTACTCTCCATTCTCAAGATCATATGGACAGAATCATAAGAATAAGCAACAAGGAACTCACTCTGGCAACGAACCAACCAAGAACCTATCTACCCAACAAATATGCAAAGGCAGAAAGTGGAGATGGATTGGGCACATACTCAGAAGGTCATTTGCGGACATCACGTGCCAGGTCAGGCCCTAGAGTGGGATCCAAACGGGAAGCGAAGAGTTGGGCATCCGAGGGTGACATGGAAGAGATCATGTGAAGAAGAAATGAAAGCTTTTGGATAGTCATGGAGCTAAGTTCGAAAGACTACAGAGAACAGAGTGAAATAGTGACGTGCTACTGAAGCCCTACGTTCCACTAGGAACATAAGGGACAAATAATATAATTATCCGGTACTTTTTAATTCAAAGCAAATATAATTGATGTTCAGATAAAAAGTTATCTAACGACCTATTATTGAACAACCATTTGGGATGAAAACGCAGAAACAGAACTTGTAATGCAGACGAGAAGTTCACATGAAGAAAAAATCAAAAAGTGAGAAAGATTTGGCAAATCAAAACTGAATTGTAAAATGAAGATTAACTTGACGTATTCACACAACGGTATTCGTAGGTAAGTAGAACAAAACCACCACCATCAGCAGTAAGAAATCAATGATGTCTTCCCAAAGAATGTTGATTACGGTAACAGATCACCAGATCAGCCGCCAAGGTCACGCTTTGGATCTAAGCTGATCACAGTGAGATTAACAATGAGATTATGAATAGAAATTTGTTGAAATGTTACCTCCCATGAAGTATGATGTCGGCTAGAACAGGCAAAAAGTGACGGTTCATGAAGTCCACCCATCCAATTTCTGGCATTCGATTGGTTACATGGGAGACTAAAAGCTTGTCACTTTGAGTCTTCAATACAATAGAAGCTGGTAACTGCAAAATCATTAACTAGATGGTTCATAATCTACCCATGGTTCCGATAAACTTCCACTTCATTTCAAACATCTGCTATTTGAGTTCCAGGTTCCTCATTTTGTTTCCTTCTTCATTCATTTTTTCTGTGGTTTTTAAAAGTATGAAACATCTAATCTATGGTTTATTATCATTCTCAATCCAACATTAGTATATTAGTCACTCGTACAGATGAAAGCATAATACTTACATTTCAAACATTTTCTTCCCTTCCTGACTGCAGAATTCCAGCAACCGGTTACGTTGTCTCTCAGCGCTGATAGAATTGGTGCTATCATCAATACAGTGATCTGCTAGCAGTCTCAAGATTCGACGAGTTATTGGTATGTACAGTTCACAGCAGTATGTTAACAAGAACCGTAGTGAAGTTGACCGACCAGGAATTAACCAAGTGGGGACATTTCGCGCTTGCGTAGACACTGATTCAAGGATGAAAGGTGTATCCGCATCCTGTAGATTATCTAGGGTTAGGCGACCTAACAACCATGACACAGTTTGAGAATTATTTTCAGGAAATATTGAGATGCTATCACCGGGACGAAAATTTAATCCAGTTTCAGTTTTCACGCTAAAAGTCGCTCTGTAAGAAGTAAATAAAATATTTTAAGAAACACAGTGTAACAGTCGTTAGAGAAAGGCATGTGTACAGAATGATGAAACAGCAACAATGAAAACAATAGGAAGCAACAGATCCACATGTGCAAAACCGTGGCTCAAAGGTAATTGCCTTCAGGCAATGGGTGACGGGTTTCAACTCCACTACATGAACCCGACAATATGTGTAGCTCATTGCCTCGTGCACGAAGATGCACAAACCACTGAGGTTAGTTATTTTCTTAAAAAGACTTACACAACGCAATACCGTTTAAGCTACTGTTCTCTACTTTTTATACCCACGTCTAGCGATTGTATTGATTACTAGTGAAGTCTATAGTCAATTGGAAGATGAGAACGTCAAGCACGCATTTAGATGAGTTAGCTAAGTATTTATCTGAATATGACACTAATGCTCATCCTGAGGAAACCTGGTGTGATATTAAGTCTGATGTAGAAACAAAGGTAAAGACAATTGGTAACCTACACCCGAAGGTTAGCAAACGCCACTGAATTTCCACGATATCATCCAAACTCACTGATGCGAGAAGACCGATTCCAGCTGGCTCTGACCACGATAAAGAGCGAATGCAACTTAGAAGCAAGTTGACCAACAGTCTTCGCGTCAATCGCGAGCAGTAGTGGGTGATGAAAGCGAAAGATATGGAGAAGACATTAGCGTTCGCTAGCACCCGGTAACCGTTTACATTAATTGACAGGATAATGCCAAGAAGAATATAACTGTTACTGTAACTATCATCAAAAAGAATGGGACGCTGATAAACTCCAAGGACAGGTGGCTAGAACGTTGGGAAGAACTCTTCAGTACAGTTCAACTGGCTATCAATAATGTTTCAGTTACACAACATCCAGCCTAAACCTGAATCGGACGTAAATGTCGGTCCTCCAAATCTTCTTATTAGTTGAGAAGGCTGTATCAAACTTGAAACAATGCGAACCAGTGGCAGCAGGACCTGACAGTTTTCCACCCGAAGTCTTCAAGGATGGAGGTGGGAAATTGCAGACTAAATTGACGGAGGTACTAGGTAGTGTATGGGAATCAGAGGTAGTGCCGTCAGATCGGTGTACTTTACTGTTCCACCCCAGTCTATAAGATGGAGGAGAAATCTTGTGGCAGCCATAGGGGAATTAGTTTGACTAAAATCGTGTCCAAGATCCTAGAGTCCATAGTTATCTGACACATAACTGGAGACCGAGAACAGCAAACTCGAGAAAACTAGGCAGGTTTCAAACCTGGACTGCAATGTATCAGTCATACTTTTTGCCCTTCGACAGATCCTGAAACACAGGCATATCTACCGGCCAGTGACCAACACTTGCCATTTTTTTTGACGTGAAGGCGGCCTTTAACTTTGTCTACTGTGACGTACTGTGGAGTGTCTATGAAGGGAGTACCAAGAAAGTACATGGTGCTAATCACAGCTCTCTACTCGGACTCACGTAGCCGAGTCAGAGCTAGTGGGAAGTTGCCACGTAAATTGACGACAAATAACGGTGTCCGGCAGGTATGTCCACTGTCACTCTTCCTATTTAATTTCGTCATAGATATACTATTAGACATAACCTTAAATGAGTCTAATCTCACACGGATTGACCTAATTCCTGGAGGTCGTCTGGTTGACTCAGAGTATGCACATGATATTGTCCTGTTGGGAGAAGACGCTGACATGATCCAGGGTCTTGTGAACGCGTTGAGCAGAAATCCGAATATGCTTGACATATGTCTTGCTGGTACCTGTCAAATGCAGGATGATGCTCCAGGACTGGTCTGCTGCAATTAATCCCAGTTCAATGATATGAAGTGGCAGAAAATGTCAACCGCTTCACTTACTTGGGAAGTTGCATTAGCCCGAACTGGCTGGTTGCTGACGAAATCTCACCTCGGATACAGAAGACCCGTTTGACATTTGCCAACCTGTGTCATCTGTGACGCCCATTGGCCAGTATACTGCGCGGCAGTCAATTCTATCCTATTGCACGGCTGAGACATGGCCGTTAAAAGTAGACGACCTGTAGCGATTACAGGGTTTCAATCATAGGTGTCTTCGCAGTATTGCTCGCGTTTGGTAAGATTTTTATGTCAGCAGTGTTGAGGTACGGCGAAAGGTAATAGGCAAGAAAGGCAAGTCGATTGGATAAGACTGTGAACCTTAGTCAAGTGAGATGGCTTGGAAATGTATAGCACATGCCAAGCCACCGCCTAACTCGACGTGCCACGCTAATGGAAGTTGTTTTAGGTTGGTCAGACCAAGACCTGATACCAGTCCATGAATTCTCTTGCTGTTGGCCTGAGTCGTGTGGTGAGAGACAGAATGACTGGTTAGGGTCCTCGAAATGAAAGAAATTAGTGATTGAGGAATGACTTTCCGTGATATGGCTGAAAATCAGTCACAAGGATGCAAATGTGTTCTATTCACTCGTCTATATCTTCTACAGCTTTAATATTCCCACTAACCTTCATATTCAGATTGTTTATTCTCTCACACAACTTTGTCTGATGTTTCTATCCACTTGTTCTCTTTGTACTACTGAGAAGTGTAGCAACTTGGACCGATGCACTCGTGTGCAGGGTTCTACGTTGATTTTGTCAGTCAGTGTCAGTTAAGTTGCTATGATATTGAAGCCTAGTTTCCTTATAAAAAACAGCTTATTTTCGATCTTGATGAAACCTAAGGAAGAAAAGTCAGCAACACTATGGATACAGAAAGATATGTTGAGTATGATGTAATATCTGTGAGTGTATCATTTAAAAAGGGAGATATGAGAGTGAATGAGCAAAACCAATAGTCCAAACAATCTCCAAAAGATCAACAGATCGACAAGAGGATTGAACTCAGTAGAATTGGAAATGAAAAAGTTATTTTCGAGGGGACCAAACTCTTATGAATAGGTTTAGAGATGCATGCAAACATTGACAGACAAGGTTTTCAATATAAGGACAATTAGCATAACATAAAAAATGAAAGAGAGTTAGTGAAAGCTCAGTAATTACTGACTGATCATAAGAAGAGCGAATATTAGCACCAAGCTAAATTTTCATTTCTGTCACTATCCTCATTATCATGATCATCACCGAGGTCCCTATTTGAGTTCAATTTAATCTGAAATATTTTCTGGGCAGTGTTTGACATACGATGAAACCTAAGGTAAGTTTATGAAAAATTTACGTAATACAAGGGATCATACTATGAATGACTAGTACAGCTATCCTATTGCCCTCATCAGGTATATCTACTCAACATTTAGGCAAAATGCACATACCTGACAGCCACTTTAATTTGCATCTTCGACGTCATACACTTACAGAAAGACGAAATGAAGATCAAAACAATATATTTTAAAATGGTAGAGGATATTTGTAGCTCAGGTGGATGGTCTCCGTTGTATTGTGTTCTCTGAGCTGAGTTGTTTAATCGTGGAGCTTTAGTATGAAGTTAGTGCTGATGATGTCATCTAGAAAGACGATGAAAGCTCCACGATTAAACAACCCAGCTCAATGAACACAATACAACTAAAATCAGCATCTTTTTAGGAGGCTTCAGATCTATTAATCTAGACTTTTCCAAATTACTGTCTTTTCGCTATTACTCCTTCCCCTTAACTAGGCAATTCGCTGATTGGTTGACGCTTGCTCTTACTACGTTAATGTCCCAAATTCTAAACAGGGTCACATATCATGTATACATACACACGTGTGTTTTGAGCCATTAAGAGAAACCTTTTCGGAGGCAATAAACTCTCCCATTTAGACTAGTCTTCGTTCCTCTGCTTTGGTCTGGGGTTTGGAGTCAGCGGTATCAGGTGTACCAGTTAGCTGTTAGCTAAGCGTGCGTATTATATCAACTCAGGAACGTAACACATATACAAATATATCACTTTAACGCAGCATGTATGTTGTAGACATCTGATAGCTAACACCAATGTTCAGAAGAAAGTATAATCAGCATTCAAACCGATTCGCAGAACTATTAAGCCACAAAATGTTTGACCCAGTTTATGTCTTTGTACAACTTTTCGTAAAGAAATTCAGGGAAGAAGTCTAGCGGGACAAAAGTTGGATTTATTTAGTTTTCATAAATTAGTAACTTTTGCAAATGTAATTTGTACACTTTTCGGATCAGATTTCAAATCCATCCATCCAAATCAAAATAGGACCAGACATTATTGCGTAACGGTTCGAGTTGCTACGCCTCATATCAGTACATCGATTAAAACGGCAGTGAAGTGGAAAATGAAAAGAAAATTCAGTCAAAAGAAATACAAAGTACTAAGAGAGAGAAAGGAAGGATGAAAAAACGGTGAGATTTGGTACAGCGTTAAGTTGGTGATAATGCGCATATACATCTGCGCCACTGACATCGGTTCTCAGACATATCACCTAGAGTCTACAACCACTGGTTTTTCTTGTCCCGTGCACCCCAACCGGCTAGTCTGCATCGCCCCACATGGCTCAAACAGAAAGTCAAAGACTTCATACACTAATGCCACATTTTAGTCTGGCCGTCTCGAGCCTTTTTCTAGCCTGAACCTACTTTGGTAACAAAAAATTCACAGGAATCTTTCAACCAAATCAATTCGGTAGATGATGGTTTATAGAGGAATGACTAAATTGATCTTTTATTGGTTCTAATGGTAACCATATACGTTTCAGGTTGTCACTTTTACATTTGTGACCTAACGGTTACAGACTACGTTCAATTACGTTTGTATATGTCTCGAATCCCATTCGTTCATTCAGCGCTGCAGGTTATCAGCTTACGCACTTGAATTTTGTTGAGTGTATAGCGGATTTGAAGTCTACCGCATCCTAAGAAGGTTTCAGTAGTCAGTCAGGTAGTATTATCAGCTCCTACATTATATATACAATTCCCAGTCCAGTATACAAACTGTACGTAGCAGCTGAGATACATTTTAGTGTACTTTACCTAAACCTTAACTTACTAGCGTTAAAGAACACCTTAAGAAATGCCTTTATTCATGTTTTTCAAACCCTTAACAAAAGGTAAACACAACTTAAATACTCGAAACAGTAACGTAGATTTACATCAAATAATTTAGCGAAAGTGAAACTTACTGGTAAACAGTTTTTGAATTACCTTTCGTTAGACACTTTAAATGTTTAAAATGTGCAGGTATTGTATCACTGCATGAAAGGGGACCATTGGCATACACTTGATCAAGTGAAAGAGAAGAACCTTCTTCATTGACAACTTTGTATCCGATTGATGCTGATGGTTTAGGAGGAAGATTCAATTTATTTAAATCCCATGATTTTGAAAATTCATCACCTACAAGATAACTGTCAACATCAGAAGAGCACTGGTGCTTATGAAGCTGTTTATCTGACGTTATGTGAAGATTTTCTGTTGACAGAGCGATACTATTTACATCCACCATCGTGAAGTTTACACAAGACTACAACTAAAAGTTGAAATATGGTAGCAGTAGTAGTAGTAGTAATGATTGCAATAAGTTACAGTGGGAACATAAAATGAAAATTGAATAAAGATAACCAAAACTCTCTTACATAATCAACGAACTAAGTGGGTTAGTTTTTAAAAGCATGAGAACCACTCCAACAAGGAAGAACCACAGTTAACTTATAAGGGTGGGTTAGTGACCTTTCTCAATAAACCTATACAACATTTTCCTTTTTGTCTTCTGAAAACAGGTGACGATATACGAGTTGGCTGACTGATGATTATCAATGTTATATTGTGACTATGAGTAATAACCAAACTATAAAGATCAAGCTACACATTCCAAGTATTTAATATCGAGCAGAAAACATCGTAACATTGACAGACTGCCATCGGTAGAATTTGGTCATGAATGAGCACTAAAAAAGAGATGACACTGTTAACCAATCTCAAACAAGCTGAGTATTCAATACAGCACTGAGGAGAATTAGCTGCAACCCATACTAGGCCAATAATTTTAGAATATCCATCCAAACGGCATGGCAATCAATGATGATAACACATATAACTCTTAAACAATGAGTCCTGAGTTCGAACTCACCCTTACCTACTTCGACCCGCGCAACTGGGCAGTATCATAAAACCTTAGGATACTGGGTAACTGCTTCAGATGTAGTCTACTTGTTTCAGTAAGTGAAGTTAAATAGTTTTGCTAGTTTTCACATGATAAGAAGAAAAGTGAATCGTAATCCCCCCACTGGGAGATACAGATACCAAAATAATTAATATCATTTGTCCAATATCTTAATTTTTTTCACCCATCAAATCTTGACTTAGTTTGGACAGTATAAACGTTCTAAATTTCTTTGACTCCGTTATATACTACTCTTTCGGCAGAACTCTTGGCGATATCATAAAACAGTAATCTTGAAGAGAACTAAAGACAGATTTCATTACCAACTGGCAATTCGTTGGGAAAAAACTACTGGGAACCGATAACTTGGATATACATAACACAATTACTTACCAGTACAATAAATTAAAGGTAAGATACTTTAAGTTCGAATGACTAGTCCAGTCTGTCGTGATGACGCAACAGTAACTTTCTGGTCTCGAATCTTGAGTGCGATTGAGAATTAGATCTCGGAGAATATCTAGCGTGAGCACTGCTTATGAGTTCTAAAATTGGAAGAAAACATCTGCTCAGTGCTGCTTGGTGTTCATATACCCTTAAATTTCAGATGGTGGCAAAAATTAAGGACCACCTTAAATCATTTGCACGATATAAGAGTAGTGAGTACTTTTTCTATCATACATCAAAATAGTGTCATTCTAGCTTTGAGATATGTATTATACATTGAGAACAAAAGTCAGATGATACGTTAGATGAACGAAGGTAATGTAAGAGCTCAGCATGATTTTGTACCAGTTTAAATAGCTATAAATCATTACAGCACGCTCACGGGAAACCGAATACACTAACGTAAAGTTATTGCTTGGTAATCTATTTACTTCAAATTAGGATAATTTTTGTGAAAAAAAAATTTGAAGTGATGATCAAAGTTTACAAGCTGGAAAAGATCCACTTAGAAGTCATTTGTCGAATGTAGTTGATGAGAATTCAAAGAAAATAACTTAAAAAATAAAAATAAACTATATTAGATAGTTACCTAGACGAAAAGTGTACTCACAACGATTTTACTGGCAACAATTTCTCATTGATTGTTTTATTCAGATAGAATCGCTTGAACACAGGTAAATGCACAATCTGCTGGGATGACAGGGAAGAGATAGATAAAGAACCATGAAGACGACCACAAGACGAATAAAGGCTTTCATTATACTGGTTTAATATCGAACAAAAAGAAACCGCGGCAATATCATCACTGACTAATTTTAGGCCATATCTACTAACGTCCCAAGTCAGCGGGTCACGCAGAACGCATCAACAATCGCTTTACACTGACCTGATGCTATTACGCCTAATATTTATTGTTGAGGAAGTGGTGTAGCATATGCAACATATTCATTAACAATATCGACTGATGAAGCTTATTCACTTATTTAACCATTGTTGCTTCTTTAACGAATAAAGCAAAGAAGGCCTTGTGTTCAAATGCAGCGAATAGAACTCCACAAAACTTCCCCTCAATTCTAATTTTCCATCTTCTCGCTTGACTTTACAGCGATTGACATCCTTTTATAAGACTACTTATTCGACTTAGAGTATACAGACTGCAGTATTGTTACCTGAAGACGATGACAAGTTTCAGTTTTTCGGATATATTGAGTGACGACTTGAAAATGTTTGTTAGGCATCGCTTCAGGACTAGGCTATGTCAATACCCTGTGTGACATTAAGCGGTGAAGTGGTTTGGTGCGTTGACCAATGCACTTACTGTGGAACCCACATCAGGATTGATGATTCAGTCTCTAACAAAATCAAGATACGGAAACAAAATGCTTGACTGACTTCAGTTAGCTAACACCAACTGTAGTGCCGGCAAGATGTCTGAAAGCCTAATAATGGTTGAGTGTGCCGTGCAGAAATTTCCTGGGTAGTTCTGCATGACTGAAATATAGTCACTTGTGTTTGAAGACATAAAATGGCTCAGAGTATTCGGTTTCCGTTGCTTTCATGTCACTGGCCATGTGACAGAACTAAGATGTTAGTAATGTGGAGGTTACTTTCAGAGTTAGGTAGAAGAAATAATTCAGCCGATGAGTTTGCGGAACTTCATCAACTCAGATAATTGCTTCATGTATTACACATGCCTAAGCACCGTCTAATCCAACATGTAATATTGGCTATGCTGACAAAAGGTTTTGCATGGTCGGATTAAAACGTGGTATCAGTTAGGAAACCCTCTGATTGTTGATGTGAACCGTTTGATGGAAAGTAGACTTCTAATTTGGGGTGAGGGTAACAACTGGTACCGATAAGCCAGAGACTCCTAATAGGGTTCAGAAATGACTGCAGTGATATAAATGATTGCAAATTATATCTACATCTAAACTGTGTCACATTTCGTCATTTGCTTCGATTCCTTCTTTTTTCTCCTCATGAGCGTCTACGAATTTCAATTAGTCTTGTACCCTGGAGTATTAATACGAAGTATGGCAACTAAAACCGCTCCTCAGTAATACCACGTCGTATCCTGATACTGACTGACTCAGGAAATGTAGCTCATTATCTAAGCACTGCATTTCAAACAATGAGTCTGTTTTACACCGAACTTGAACAGGTAGTATCATAAGCCCTAACAGAAGGTGGTTCATAGCTCAACATATAAACGCCTGTACCTGGTTGATTTGTATTAGTTTTAATTACTGAATGACTTTTAAAAGCTAAATAAAGGAAGATATTGGATAACATGGTAAAAACTACGGAAATTACTGCGTGAGTCTTGTGAAGACTTAATAGCAAAAGTCTGTCCAAATCGCTAAGAAAAGTATAATACTTTTAGACCGGAGATTGGATTTTCTTCAGAGCATTTCCGATCACTTATCAACTATATGCGCGTTTGCGCAGCAGACAATGAGTCAGACCTATTGTGCGAGGACTAATAATACTACCTCACAGCATAGACATCGGTAGGTGAGACGGGATTGGAACCCGAGACACATCGGTTGAAATTCAATTGTCTAGACTAATGAGCCAGTCCGATCACCTTCAAAAATACAGTACTGGTATCATTACTAATAGATTCTCAGATGCAAAAAACAACCAAACCAACTCATTTTTATCAATTTTAGTGTTTCTTCGCTATTCAGGAATGTATGAATCACTACTGTAAAAAAGGAGACATTCTAATAACACTACCCAAAGGTTTTGCAAGAAATCAACTAAAGGTGTGAATGAAACTCACCCTTATGCTGATAACTATGACACAAGAGAGCGTGAGTTCATCACTCTGATTCACGGCATATTACGCAACCTACAATAGGCACATAATTAACGCAGAAACCGATACAATATGGAAAATAACAAACCAGCACTGCATAACAAAAGCATTTGAAAGATCATACTTCCTCGTGTCTATTTACGTGAATTTATGCAGTTCCTGACAAATGCCTTTTTAATGGACCACCGTATATTTTCGTTTTAAATGTTATTAGCTGACTATTAATATCAGCTTCTTTCCGAATTCATACATGATTGATAAAGAACGCCACTTATATGTACTGCGATGATCGACAAAAGTTACCTTCCTATACATTTCGTGTCGATCAACCAAAATTAACTCTCCTTTCGACCAAACGCACCTGATAGAGTTGAATAAATTAGCCATCTCGTAAATACACTGAAAATGAAATATATTTTTAAACTTTCAATGAGGCGAAAAAGTTAATTTCTGACGTTTCGTGACTTTGTGGAAATCGCTTCTCCAGAGAATAAAACCTGTACAAGCTATCGACTGTTTAAATAGTAAGTCTTGACAAATCAGACCACTTTATTCACTCATGGTAATATTATGGGCATAAATGTCATTATTATCCTTTATTAGTCTGTAAGTCAAAGTGAAGATGTGGATGTGCATGCATGTGTGACTGGGTGTGAATGTGTGGAAAAAGTACTATGGATGACAAATTTGTTTGATTGTGTGTACGTACTTATGTTCTGACTACTGTATGATGTTTTATTTTGGATAAACTGTGAAAGTTGGTTTGATAGTATTCTACCTTCCTTGTCCACAACTTATTCAACAGAAACCTACCAGAACATGAGACCACACAACTACGGAAAGGTCTAAACTGTAACTTGAACAGAAAACTACTCAGCACCCTGAAAATAGCACTAATCACAGACTAGTGATCGCAAAACTACTAGATAAAGAGGCTCACATCTTACTTCAGAAAATACCTCACATTCTACAAAAACAAATATATGTGCCAACGAGTATTTCAAAAGAACAATCAGCCCTTTATAACCTACGAAAAGATAAAACAATTGTAATCACTAAGGCAGATAAAGGAAATGTAACAGTGATTATGAACAAAGCTAGTTGTGACCATAAAGCACGTGAACATCTGTCGACCGGTCTCTATGTAGACAGCGAATCGAGAAAGTGCCAGGCAGTGATGAACAAGATGAAAACGAAATAGGCCAGCTTTTCAAGGAACTGCGACCGTTCATCGGAGACTCACTGTGGTCTTCTGTATATCCAGAATCATGCACATCACGTTTTTATGGGTTACCAAAAATTCATAAACCTGATGTCTCTCTGAAACCGGTAGTACATTTTATAAACCCTACAACATGTGCATTATAGAAATATCTCGCATCATTACTAAGGCCCCTTCGACGCTCTGTTATCAGCTCAATTAAACGTTTTTATGAATTCAATTCAAAAATATCAGAACTATCTATTGCACAGAATGAAACAAGGGTAAGTCACGATGTTGTTTCGCTGTGTACTAGTGTAACTAATGAAAAGTGTTTACAGTTCATAGGTGAATTGCTAAAGGGTGATTACACGTTGGCAGACAGATCTCCTTTCAACCTCAGCCTCATCACGAAATCACTCAAATTTTGTTTGGACTCGACACTTTTCACGTTTAGAGAAAAATTATATAAACAAACAAATGGAGTAGCAGTGGGTTCTTCGGTGTCCCCTATCGTTGCAAACATCATTTCTCACATTGAATCCATGATCTTTGCGAACGCCATCAAACCATGCATTCGGTTCAGATACGTAGATGATACATTTGTAATTTTAAAAAGATCTTCCCTCAGAACATTTTCTAAATTAATTAATACTCATTCCTCGTGTAGTTAATTCACATATGAATATGAAAATGCAAGTGATAAACTACCATCTTTAGGCTGTTTAGGCAAAAGGAATGGAAATGAAAGTCTAACTTTATGGGATTGTCGAAAACCAACATATTCAGACTGATGTCTTGATCTCAACCCAGCACATCTACACAGTGCTAAACTTTCACTTGCTCGGAACTTATTCAGGAGGGGCACAAAGCTCATCACGAATGAAGATGAGAGACAAACGGAAGTAAGAAACATATTAGATGTGTTACATTTCAATAAACACTCCAGGAATGTTGTTCAAAAAATTCAAAAACATGGACAGAGAGATCCCAGAGGAAAATCAAATGATGGTTCTTCGGTTAGCACAGTAGTCTTACCATACCGCCAAGGTAAAATTAAAGGACTACAAAGGATTTCAAGAAAGCACCGAATTAGAGTTTTCTACAAGACAACTAACACTTAGGAATGATGCCGTTCACTCAGAAGATAAAATTTCCCTTACCTCTACATAGAATTGTGCCTACAAATTAGACTGTCGATTTTGAGGCTTGTTATATTGGGGAATCATCCTCTGAGATCCTCATTCGTGCTAAAGAACGTGCAATTTATGCAAAAATGACTACCAAATAATCCTATTTAACTAGAGCTTATAAATCAGGTCGGCGATCGCTGTTTATATCATCTATCACGGCCATAGAATTGATATGGAAAGTATTAAAATTATTCAGTAAAAGTCTTTCAAATTACAAAGAAAGAAGGATAGCTGGGGCATTTCACTTTATGTTGAACCCTAATGCATTCAACAGAAAGGAACGTCTAACTAATATCAAACCAACTTTCACAGTTTGTCCAAAATAAAACATCATACAGTAGTCAGAACATAAGTACGTACACACAATCAAACAAATTTGTCATCCATAGTACTTTTTCCACACATTCACACCCAGTCACACATGCATGCACATCCACATCTTCACTTTGACTTACAGACTAATAAAGGATAATAATGACATTTATGCCCATAATATTACCATGAGTGAATAAAGTGGTCTGATTTGTCAAGACTTACTATTTAAACAGTCGATAGCTTGTACAGGTTTTATTCTCTGGAGAAGCGATTTCCACAAAGTCACGAAACGTCAGAAATTAACTTTTTCGCCTCATTGAAAGTTTAAAAATATATTTCATATGCGAACTTACACGGTTTTTATCACCTGTTATTTGCAACCTACTGGTTGGAGAAACTTCAGGAACAAAGAGAGTCTTATTTTGATAGGTAGTCATTTTTCAATTTGCCAAAAATGCTGTACTATACTAGGTGAGCTATTTTGGTCCATGGTGTCATTTGGCAGTCAGTTTTAAAACTACTACTGGCATTTAGTAACAACAGTCAATTACACGTACTAAGATATCGACCAAGTAACGGTGAACTGGTGGATCTACACAACCTCAAACCGAAGAAAATGACGTGGGTGCGAAGATGATCGTCAAATAGTGTCAGGTCTCAATAAATGTATTTTGGGTGAGAAATTACCTTTTGTATACAGTTGTGCAATAGTACCATTTCCCGTGGGTCAACAGCCAAAACAATGGGTTGGCTACTTATGAAAACCGTGTTAGCGACACTAATAAAAACAGGACAAGTCCATCACTCGTACTATTTCTGTTAGCTCCAACAAAATGCTTCTAGTGCTGCCACACTATCTCTAATAAAAACTATGGTAGGTTGGCTGGCTTGTTTTAATCCGTATAGTAAGTGTATCTGTCAAGATTCAGTTTCTTCTTGCATGCTATAACTAAAAGAGCAGTAAATGCTTTCTCTAAAAATGACTTTAAATCGCTGAACACTGTATGGAAAACGTACTTTCATGTACATTTGATTCAAGTGAAACTTCTTTCTTCTAGTAGGTTTGAGGATAACCAATATTTAAGAGGACAGAAAAGGCATATGAACCCTAGTCATTATTAAGGAAACTGAATACTACCATCAGATAGCCCCATTTCTTGGAATAAGATAGTGGTAGTGACTTAGTTTTTGTAAATACTTTGTACAGGACAGATTAAAAAGACCGATCACCAACTTAGTGCCGACTCCTTGAATAAACCTCAGTGAATCTGCTTCATTTTCAACACAGAGGCGGACTTTTGGAAGGCAGTAGGGTGAATGAAGTCATGTTAATTTAGTTGAATTCGGAACAAGTGTTTATTAGAGATTTGTATGGCTGTGTATGGAGATAGTAGCGCATAGAATCCTTAATATGCAGTCCAACTGTACTTAGCACACTTATTTTAGATCCCAACTTACGACTTCTGCTAGATTAATTAGTTTTTATTGATATCCGATAAACTACATACCGGAGATAGCCACTATGGTCGATATGCATTATTATACTTTTGCGAGAGCAATTTCATAGACACAAAAGAACAGACCAACCAAATGGTTCTTTAGTCAGCTGGTAGTGCGTACCTTACTACAGCGTAACAAATGAAGCTTGAGACTGTAAAATCATTGGAAAATATGTGTACCATTGTAGTGGAAAACATAAATAAGTTCCTAAACTTCGCTACAAAAATCATATATACTCCAATTTCCCCTCATTTCTGAACTGAAGACTGAAAGAAACAAGTTTTATCATTGGTCGCTCATGAGCGACTGACAAATATCGGCCTTGATCAAGGCCAATAAAACTCAACGGCTTCATCCAAGTTTCTCTGATAGTTAACTTATTTTCAAAAAAGTTTGAAAGTGAAATATGTAAACGCATTTTAGCTGTCATTCGACTCAAGCCCATGCCGCTAGTTAGTATACATTTGGCACTTGGATGATTTGAAGAACCACCCTATATCACTGCAGAGTGGGCATCCTAGGACCTAATGAATTCAAGCGAATTTACGTTGCACCTGATATAGAAACAACTATGCCATACAACTGAATCAGAAGAATTGGTTTTCGCTATTCTTTGATTGTGTAAAAGTCCTATAAAACCTCTATAACTGAAACCAATCAAAAGAATATGGAAATCTAAATGGAATTTTTAAACCACGTGAAACCGTAACACTAACTTCAACTGCAACGCGCTACAGTGTTAACAAAGTTCAACCTCAAACTTTGTAGAGTTAGTGAACGGCGGTTCCTTGGGTTCTACGTTTGTCTTATTGGAAAACGTTCTGA